GTCCAATCATTCCAAGGATTCGCCAACTTTTGTCGACAGTTCATAGGGAACTACGCTGGATTGTCTAAACCCCTGACAGACTTGACCAGAAAAGACAAAACATTCCTCTGGGACAAGGTGACGGAACAGGCTTTTCAGGAAATCAAGCAACGGTTCGCTAAGGAGCCAATCCTTCGGAACCACGATGTCGACAAACCAAGCACTGTTGAGACAGACGCTTCGGACACAGCGGTCGGGGCTGTACACTTACAGCCAGACGACTATAACGTAGAATATAAGCTAAAAGTATCCGAGCTCCGCGTAAGGCGTATAGCTACGCTCTAGCTATACCGAGAGCTATATTTAAAACTACTACTCTTACGTCTATATTACGCTAGAATCGTATTTAAAATATGTATTAATAGAGTATAAATAATCTGAGTATTTAGGCTATATTCTAGTATTCTCGCTATACTATTATAATATCTATAGCTAGCCGGGTATAGGCTAGAAGCTAAACGAGTACGCCTATAGATTTTAGTAGAGTACTAGGGGTATATCGCCTATACGCCTTAGTATATAATCTACCTTATAAGTACGACTTTTCCTTAGTATTTAACTTTTAATCAAATAACGTATTATTATTAAAGTATAAAACCTTAACTAAGATATCTAATTTAAAGCCGGCGAGTTCGCACGAGCTAGCGTAGCTAGCGAGGCGTACTCGTAACCTAATTACTTAATAATAAATTAATTTTTAATCAATAAATAAATATATAAATTAAATTAACTTATAAAAAGACTATTAGACGTAATAAGAGGGCGAGGGCAAGCCTACGAGCCCGTCTAGCCTCGTATTGTTTATAATTTAAACGACTTATAAGAGGTTAAGAAAATATCTACCTAAGATAAGAGAAAATAATTATATAAAAGTTCTACCTTATGTAATTCTAGTAATCTATCTAGTAAAAATAGTCTTCTTTTACTATTAGTTTATCCCGCTTATATCTAAGTTAATAATAATAAATCTACTAATTATTATTATAAGCTTACAAAGAGTAGTTTCTTATTAATCCTCTACTATCCCTAAGCTAGCTACTAGTTTTAGATAGTATTATAGGCCTTAATTAAGCGCTTAGTAGTGTGACGGAGCTGGATTTCATTTGACAGGATTTCATTCGCTTGGCCAAGCACGTGACGAGACTTGGCATTGGAACAACTTAAATAACTTCGCTCCTTTCAGATTCTCTTCTCTCTTTAGTTTGATTTCTTCGTACCTACGGTTTTAGTTCTAGCAATTGATTCAAAAGCTGTATACACTTTATCCTTTGTTGGCATACGTGACAAGTAGCCTAGTGTAACGAATACTCAAACTGGCTAACTAAACTTGGCTGGGTGTTCGCTGGTTGGTATGCTATGATAAGAAGAAGACTATCGGGTTGTTCACTTGGAAGTGAACTCGTTACTTGTATCAAAGATGTCAAACTAATATGATAAGATTGATAACTAAGTTGAGCACGAAGCTCCTATCTAATGGCAGACGTGCCAGTCTTATATAGACCCTTCACTTTCCTGTACTTTGCCAGGACCGCTGGTCGGTCCTGTCGTTCCAGAAGTTCAGACCGATCGTCGGTCCAGTCGGTCCAACTAGTCACGTGATAAGACACGAAGGAAATCCCTGGATCGCTTAGCTAGTCTAAGCGTCCCTATTTGCTATAAGAAACCTGGATGTGCCTGTCGAGGGTTGCGCCTCTTTATTATGACAAGTATCACGTGAGCACGTGATTCGTGACACCTAGGTTCTATTTATTAAGGTACAAATAGCCTTATAAGTACCCTAGGGGCTGTTTAACCTAAATAATATATCCTCTACCTCCTACGTAAACCTAAGTATTAGCAAATTTGTAATATTTCCTACGCTGGTTATATTAGTCGGTTGAAGTATTTCGCTATCCCCAAAAGACTTTTTAAACGGGATAAGACTTACACGCCGTCGCACAGCCTTTGTTATACTATCCAATGTAATATCAGTCATTCAAGGATTATAGCAAAGTCCAGATCTTAGCATGTACAATATATTAATGTACTCCATGACGCGAGGCTGGCCTTAGTGCAATTCTGCATAGTGTTCTGGGATATGATCAGGTCGGAATTCGCGCCCTACCCGCCAGGTTGCACATGAAATTCCCCTCTATCAAGGACAATTTGCGCCCAGAAGCGTTGATTATATTGTGCATATGAATTGCAGTCCAATCTGTGAGAAAAAAGTCCCCTAACATGCACATCAAACATGTCATTTTAATATCAATCTCGATCCTGCGTTCAATACGCGGTGCTTCAGCCTCCGATTGTGGATCGAAGGATGCATGGATGCCCGCCCTATCGATGCTGGCGGATTTTCTTACAGCACCTGGATTTGTTGAACTTGCACAGAATCCAATATTCAGACAAGGTCACACAAGCTATTTTCTTACCAATACAGCCCGACGGATAGGTTGGTGAGTACCCCTATAATGAGGAAAAGCCGGTGCTGAATATTACAGTACATGATCGAAAAGTACAAGAATGGCATACAAGTGCTGTGTTGTGTTTGATTTCAAAGCCCTCAAGGTTGGTTGCTTTAGACCCAGCTTTGGCTCCAGGAGCAATGACTAGGTCGGTATACCATATTCTGCATTCCTTCTATTGATTCAGTCTGTTATAGATATGATAACTTTGTAGCAATTCGTATCAATAGCACAATATTAAAATATCATGATAACATAAATTATTCAATATACCTTCTGTGTAAGATACCATCGATTGATTATTAGAAAGTCAAATTTGTCTTATGGCATCGGTAATTTCGTTGGTTTTATAAGAAAGCTCTTCGAGAAGAATGTAAATATGCAGGATACTTCAAGGCAGTTGGGCGAAACTCTGACTACATCTATGTTAGAATAATACATTATTCTAAAAGCTTCTTACACATGACATTATTACTCGAGCCATTTAGGATAATTCAATCTATATATATTGATTAATCTAAGTCATTTGGGACAATGAAGTTAATTGTTTTGGGAATTATAGTATAATGGGTTCCTAGGGTGTGCATAGAATTTTGCTAACTGTCTCCCTAACTAGTAATGTTCTGTTCTCGTATCTTATTAATACCCTCTCATCGCAATACTAGAATTGGGCGAAATCAGCTTTCAACCCTATTAGCTCTCCGATGTGTAGGAGTAATTGAGGCAATGATATTCGTGCCCCCAAAGGGCAAGTTCAGCACTAGTTCTGCTGTTTGGTAGATCCAAAGATACCCGTCTTACTGGCTCAACGTTAAATTCATTCTACTTTTGTGAATATTCCCCTATATCTGTATGAGTTCTAGATGTGCCGCCGTCCAATATAGGGTTGCAACCGGATGCTTGGCATGGTTATTCGTACGCTACTTTAACACGCAACGAACCCACTACTGCACACACTAACCTACTTGGTTTTAGCTGAAAACGAAAGTCATATATACGCCAGAATTTCCCCAAAATATTTCATCATCCATCTACATTAAAACCTTTGGAACTCGAACATGCCAAAATCAAAGTCGGTACTGAAGACAGACGGCCCTAGGGCTCTGTTGCCTTTGCATGAAGGACTGCACCATGATTCGCACAAAGCATACCGTTTCCTCCCTTATTTCAACACAGGCCTCGAGCCATCCCCTCCATCACCAATTTGGGTTACTTGATCGATCTCGCAATTCTCGGCGCGTATTCTTTGATGTTTCGCCTAACCTATGAATCCGACGAAGGTTTCTGGGCTTTCCCCTGGCATGGAAATATCACATGGCACCAAAATCGATACCTCTATTTATTGCTGGCCATTTCCATTTGTGCAAATCTTTGTGCATTTTGGTGCGGATACTCAGAAGTCCTAAATCCTAGAACAAATTGGAGCCGAGCCGGTATGTTAGACTGTATCAGGAAGGATAAATGTGGCTTATTACCTTTATGGGACGACCGGGAATCAGGCCAAGGAGTGGGCTTCTTCGACTGGATTTTATATCGGTATGCTAGGATTAGTATTGATGAAAACCCATGGGATAACGAAGGGTTCGACGCCGAAAATCACAAGCATCGATATATCTTGGCGATGTATCTTGCAAATCCGCAAGCAAAAGAGATACAGTGGTTCGACTACGCGAAAAGAAACTCCTTACGGTGGATGCCATCTACTCAACTTTTGATTATTCTCGTGGTCTATATAGCATTTCGTATTCCAAGAATGCTGTCGGAAGAACGAGATGTAGGGCTTTTTGTTTTTCATTTGTTGTGGTATCCTTGGCTTTTAGGGTTCTATGTGGTCTACGGGTTGTTCTTATTTAGAGAAGCGAGGTGGCTATGGAAGGAAGGAAGTCTTGCAAAGGACATAAGAGAAGAACGACTAGGTAACAACGGAACCTCTGCCTATTTGGATATGGAGAAGGGATATATAAGTACTAAGCCAAGAAGGAGAGTAAATAGTTTACCATACGAGTATCCTAGTAGAAAAGGAGAGTTATAGACTTCCTTTATTTTCGCCTAATTTAACTAAAAGCCATTCAACTATATTATCTATTTAGACTATTTAGTATGATTAATCCCAAAAGATATAACAATAGATCTACGTGTTCTAGATATTTTATAAGTTCTAATACTTAGAATTACCTTGCGCTAATAATTAAAAAATGGATCACTGCTACTTTTTTTGCCTACCGGGAGCTTACCTCTCGACTCTGGAAGGTACAAGGTGCGATTTCCGCTATCCAAGCTCTACATAGAGAGGCTAAAGAGAAACGCCTCCAAGAAACACATTAAATAGCCACCGACGTAGAATCTAGTTGAAATACCCCGTAGAGTATTAAAAAAATAAAGAAAAGCTTGTCTATTAGGAAAATTAATGAATGGAAATGCTACCTACGTCATACTAGAATTAGACATAGGTCCCCTGTAAGCCAACTTCTTTTCTATATATGGCACTAAAATAGGCTAATAAGCTACTACTCTTTTTATTATCTATACGAAGATCCAGGAATATCGTGCTAGCATTTTACTTCCCGGGTCCCAATGTAAACTAATTATCTATAACCTTGTTATCTCAGCTTCAGACCCTCTTTATAAAGGCTTTATGTTTTGCCTTCCAGCTTTCTCCCCTCCCACGTGACCCACCCGCTCCCACCCCGACCACTCCGGCCCGCCCCCGACGCCACAACGCCACCAACCACCACGACTTCTTTTCTCAGGTTATATGTTACTTGAAGTATGCGCTTTCACCTTTGGAGACGCATATTCTTTTGACTCTTGACCTTATATACTTCTTTCGCCTCGCCTTATTGAGTAAATCCAGCCCCAAACTTCGTTTCCAGAAAGAGTATCAGTATTCCCATTATCACATGAAAATCCTCATATACCAAACCTAACTGCTCAAATATAGTTGAGATAATAGCCAAATCTTATGGTTCGAAAGAATCAGGATGAGACTTGACGGGGGTATGCTATATCCACAACAAGACAAAGGTTAAACGTCATATCCGCGTGTCTCTCGCCTACATCCCCGCAATACAATGCTTGAAGAATGTATGTAAGAATCCTCCGCCATGCACTGCAAAAGATCGACAAGAATTTTGATCCTGACAATATCTTTATAGAAGGATTGAGCTGAAAGCTTGGAGTTCCGAGCAAAGTTCTTGGCTAGCACAAGAAGATGAAACCAATCATTCTGCCTATATAAGTCTGATGTTTATACTGCAGTACAGTAAGCTGCATCATCGAATGGATGACTGCATTAAAACCCGCCCCATGGATGCTCTCAGGGAGGCCGTTATTACTCTGAACATGACTAGGCTAAGACAATATTATCTTGGAAGCCTCACACAATGAGAATAAACCTACAAGCAATTTAGGACAATTAAAATCGAGATATACTTATTACCCCAAGTATTTGGCACAAATAAGTTGATTAAATGAGGAACTCTAGAACAATTGATTATTACGGTGTGTCTCGCTTAATAAGCGGGTCTCTCGCTCGACTGATCCTTTTTGTTTCAACTGTCAAGGGTTCCCGATCCTTCACAACTGTTGCAACTACATCGGCGGCTGTTATCTGACCAAAATGAAGAGCTCTTCTGGCTTCTTCGACTTCAAAGGGATATACTTTCGGAGATCATCGGAGCTCAGCAAAACAGCAGTCAGATGTCATGATGAGACTTGCTTGATAGAATCATACAGACAACAGCCTACTGGATATTCTAAGGATCCTTAAGATCTAGGTTGATATTTAGCGATAAAACTATAGAAAGGGTAGATGTCCCCCCAAAACAACTGAAGTACCGTCGATTGACTCCTATCTAACACATAATCTCCATTTTCAAACTACGGATATTTCACTTCATTACTATTTTACATTTGAGTATAATCATTCGTTCTAGCCAGCAAATATGCATTCCACATTCTCCTTTTCACTCCTGGTTTTGCAAGGTGTTTTATCCTTCAAGACAGTCGCCAACCACAACAAGGAGACGACAGAAACTATTCGTGCCAAATCTGGCTACAAAACCGAGGAGTTCAACGATCTGGTCGACTCGGTTCTCGATGCTTGTGATAGCAATGGATGTGACTCGGGACCGAAGAAGTGTAACATTGCCCATTGTATCTCCATTGATGGAGATAATCTGGATAATAATCACGGCAACATTCTCGAAATAGTGGGAAAGTACATCAAAAATACAATGCACACTGAAGATGCTACGATCGACGACTGCACTAGCTCAGGTTGCGGCTTTCTTAAGGCCACCAACTATACCATTCCCGGCTACATCTCCCTCAGGCGTAACTACGATAATGACGATCCTAACATACTGTATAAGATTTCTATCAGCACGACGGAATCAAAAGATGCTTGTGGAGCTGTGTTTGACGCCTTATCGGCTGCTGGTGGACCGCTTGGGGCAGGAGACGTATTCGGCGCGATCAAGGCTGCTGTTTGTACGGAATAGTCAGGGACGGATATAACCAGTCTTTGTTTCGAAGTTTGGTGAAAATAGTATCTTGAGTCCATGAACTTGCGTTTTCGGGGTCCAGTTGAATGTTGGTAAATTTACATGCGACGCAAAATGCATGAAGGCACATACGTAGATACCTAGAATTAAAATGATTATTTCGGACAACAACATTACCAAGCCTTTGAAAATATACAGAACTAGCTTTTAGAAGTTTTGCAACGAGTATATCATCAGTGAATGACCTGAATGAATTAGTGGGGCTTTATAAAAGATGTGTAAGAGAGGTCGTCATTACTTTGAACACACCAAGACTCGCGAGTGTCGAACGGCATTATCTCAAAACTCTCGTACAACTAATGTATTTAGACGAGGTATTAATTAGAAGGTACTAAATTTAGTTTATCTTTATTGACATGATTCATTTCAGAAAGTTAAGTCATTTAATAAGGAATTCTAAAACAATCGATTCTTAAGGTGTGTCTGGAGTAATGGACAGGTCTCTTACAAAAGAAATTCGCATCTGCTCTAATAACCCAAGTGAATAAGCCGAGAGTAACAAAGACAAAGGTAACACACCAAGAGAATCAAAGTCCTCATGAAACCCATTCATATTCCGGGAGCGTGTATTTATTCCCATTCGCAAATCCGGCGGCGAAGTGTTTCTGCACAAATCCTAAAATTCCAGTCCAAGAAATAAAAGCCAAAATCTTATTTCGTAGCCATAATCCCCAAGCTGTTTGTGGTCCAAGGACTGAATACAGGAATAATGGAACCGTTTGTAATTCTTTCACATACGGCAGCATCTTTTCTTCGTAACCTCGAAGTCCAGCTGCAAGATTCCCCTCATTTTTCGGAATCTCGCCAGCCAAAAAATAACCGCCAGTCATAGCAAGGCTTGTTCCGGTACCCGCAGAACCTCCATAGCCCGCATCGCCGACGAGCACAAATCGTCCTTTGAATAAAGTTGGCGGCTTGATACGAGCAATCTCGTTGGCGTAAAAGTCCTTAGACTCCATTATACATTTGAGAAGCTCGTCGATTTTCCAACCGGCTCCTTTATAATGCTGCGCGACAAACTGTTTAAGGTGATGGGCCCCTTTATCTCTTGCCTCACGAAATTGTGGTAAATTCCCTGCATTCAGTGACTGGATCACGGCTCGATTGCCCCCCATTGGATTCTGCCCCATACCAAAAAACCGTCCTCCAATTGCGTTGTGTGCTTTTCCTATCTTGCTTCCATCAAGCAGATTCTCTTTTATTGAGAAAAAGGCCACCCAGGAGTTGGTAGGCTGGACGTAATCTCGGATGCCACATTCAAGCCCCATCGCCCGAGTTCTTGAGGCTGCACCATCGCAAGCAACGACAAGATCTGTGGGATGTGAATTAGCATCTTTCGGTAAATAATGAGTAAATCTTGAAGCAAACATGAATTCCGAGAAATTCTCCAGTATAAGAATCACCCAGCGTTGATCTTTGCGCTGGTAACTTCAAGAATTGAGCACGCACCATACTCAGAAGTAGGCGAGCCATTGAAGAATTCCACTGTTATTGGAGACCCTTCTTCTTGCTCTTTCTGCTGCATTGAAGCAACTTGCTCACTGAAAATATAATTGATATTTTCATTGTCTTTGGTCATCTGGTAGAATATCTTCACCAAGTCTCCACGATTTATTTCATACTCGGGACAAGTGATTGCTGGTCGGGGTTTCCAGTGGCAGTAATTATGATATATGGGTGACCACTGTTATCCACGATGCTTATTCCATCCATAGGTACCACTTTGGCTTTCACGGCAGCCTCGAGCCCTTCCATCTTGCGCATTACTAGAAATCCAAGGGTCCGGATGTCGACAACGTGGCCATTATTTCGTAGTTCTGGGAAACGTTCGATGACGGTGACTTTTGCTCCTGCTTTTGCAAGCCATTATGCAGTCGTGGGACCAGCAATGGATGCGCCTACGACTAGAACTTTCAATTGAGGCATTCTAATTGTACCAAGTTGTATAGGTCGATTCAATAAAGATGATATTTCAGATTTAAAGTTCTAGATTCATGGTCAGTCCTACTACCTATGTATCTGACATGACATTGTGACTCAGTCAATTCTCCCCAGGCTGACGGCGCCACCCGGTGCTGCACTGCCATTCGGAATATTCTAACAGGTAGATACCAGCTCCAGGCGTCGTAGCTCCGAAATAATGACTGGAAAGGCCCAATGAGAAGTACCTATACAGTATGTTCAGAGCAGATCGCATAATCATTGGTGGAGATTGTGGTTTCCTGGAGGTCGCGAAAGACTGCTAAGAGTACTGTACATAATGTACAATAACCGCGTGCGATTATAAAACCCAAACAAAAATCATTAAACAAGCATGAAGCATTACTACGGCCAAATTAGGGGCTAAATCCAGTATGGCACGTGAAATAAATATTGACTTCCTTGCTGACATGAGCTTACTCTTACAGGACGGCGCGAAAACGGCATAGATTGTGTGACTAGTCTGACATGACTACCTCCCCTTATGACCTGCCGATTCTGTGTACTACAGGTTCACTTGCTATACCAGAAGGACAACCCTATATACAAGACTTCAAGTTCCTCATTGTCTCTAGATGAACTTCAAGTACAGTCTCCACAATCTTGCTTGTTCCATGTTTATCTCAGCCATAGTGATACCTTCAATAATTTCCATTACCAAGTATGTAGTTTCATTGTCTCTGAAATAACTGTGCAATTTTGGAACAGGAATATTTGTATTCTTCGCAATGAAGTCCATCGAGGCGCCCCGTTCTTAATTCGTTCCATGCCGAATTTTGGAACGATTAGAGCGCCTCTCATGGGATTGACTTGCTATTCTCGTGGCCGGAGGCTTCTCTTCACCCATGATTATCCAACTTGAAAATATACCCGCTCCGTACTGATTACTCGAATGTCTTTCCGCAGCTTGCGTTAATCATCTGATTAGTAATTGGAGACATGATCAGAGAACTTATATTAGTAAACCAAATTTACAATCGGTCAGGTTTTAAAATTTGGCGCGACAATGGTTGTTGGTTCCAGTGTGAGAGCAATGATATTGGTATAGTGAATGGAAAGTTGTAATGTAGCGCGCTATATAATTTCAAACAAATCGGCACCTCGCTAATAACCTATAGATTATAGCAACCCATTATAGAATAAAATGTAGGTAGGAGTAGATTAACTGACTTTATTTATCAAGTTCCTAGTATAATAGACTATGAAAACTATAAAAAAACAGAATCTCATAACTTAAGCGATAATAAGAAAACTTCTCCTTATTTCGAGGTGTATAATTCAGGGGGTAGCTCTATTAATTTTCAATTATCTAGGTAGTATGTTAGCGATTTACAATTTATCATGGGGTAGTTTAGTTTAGTATAGATTGGATTAGATCATTTTCAGATTCTTAGTATTAGTAAGAAATACAAGAGGTTCGAATTTTAGATGTGATTAGATAACTCTATTGATTCCACTGTGTATTCCAAACATTACTCGCTTGTCGTAATAATCAATTAGTCGATCTGGTTATTGGGGTAACACAGAAAAGATCTGCTGTAAAATATTCCTCTGGTTGAGGCCCTTCTGCTTTTGAACAAATCTCCTTTGGCACCGTTCGTTTTGCCTTTGCAGCTCTCCGCTTAGCTTTTCGATCAGACTTCGGCGCTCTAGATCTGACATCCGCGAGCATTAACTGGAGTTGAACCGAATTTGGCAGCTTATGCACTGCATGCTGCAACACTGACATAGCCTCCTTCAACTCCCCGTGCTTGATACAATCCTGGCAGTAATTAGACAAGACCATCTCTGCTGCTTCTAACTCTTCAGGCGAAGGAGGAAATGTCATGTGCTTCCAATAGCGAGGGTCAAGGTGCTTCTGAACCGTTGTTTTTGCGGCATCAGCTCGATTCTTACTCCACTGTAAGTACATTCTGCAGGAACAACAGTCGTTTTGTCCAAGAGTTTTGTGCGCATTCGAGCATTGGCCAAGTTGTCTTAGGGACCTAGAAGCTGCCGTCCAAATGCCGACCATTGTACTAATAGCTCTGTCATTGACGCGCATCTGAAGATGTACAGATCCGTGTCGCTTCAGCCTCTCGAAGCCCCATCTATTCATCATGAGTCCAGCGATGATATACATGCTTCGATCGTCAAGGTGCTTTCCCTGACTTTATAGGGAGTCTCCTTGGGTCCTGATGCGATGGGCCTCTTCGATAGATTCGTCTTCACTCCAGGCGGGCAGGTTCGATTGTTCTAAAAGCCTTTGGCTTCCTTGACTGTCTAGACCAGTGAGGCGTATATTTCTGCAGTAGATAAATCCTTCTTGGGAAATGTTCGAGTTCTTAGGGGTATCTTTGGGTAACTCGTTAATCTCGCTATACCGCTTGACTCATTCATCCATGCCATCATAATCGGAACCCTGAGGTCCCATATGCGCATTATGATCCCGGGGGATTCGAAGACCTCCTAAAGCTTCAGCTAACTGTGGGGCTAAGCTTTGAGTTTTGGCATATTGCTTGCTTGAGTTGCTGAAACTAAAATCGATGCCGAAAAGCTGCGAAGTTTTATACTCGCCGTTTGTAGCATACTCACGCTTGTCGTAATTTGAGGCGTATTCGGAGTTGATAAGTTAGATTAATCTTGGTAAATTTTTGGCAGAGAAAACAGCGTATTCGTATTCAGTTCGAGGGGTTTGCTTGTGGGGTCGGCGGTGGCAGATCCACGTTGTGTAGTTTTCGCAACAGTCACAGCCACTTTCTACCCAGTATTTGATTGATAGGGCGTGCCCATGCCTAAGGTGAATGTGCAATGCTGTGTCGGGAAATGACTTTTTGCCAGTATAGTACACTGGAATTACTTTGTTGATATGTCGCCTCAAAAACTGGCAGGAGTTGGCTGAAATTGAGACCAGAACGTTCTCTTGATAAAAGGCTTCCAAGGCTTCGCGTAGAATTTGCTTGTTGACGGTAAAGATAGAGTAGTCCATATTCCAGACTAGTCGTTGCCTATTCTCTCCGTTTCCAGTATCTAAAGCGCAGTTGCTCTCAACAGAAAGCAATTCGCGGTAGACAACGTCTTCAAGCTCTTGTGGGTGTGACATGAACGTTGAAGGCATATCGATAGACGAGTTTCGTGTTGGTGTTGGCCTTGGCGGACGGGTTCCTTTTAGATCAGTGGTTGAGTAGCTGTATGAACTTATTGTTTTAGTTTCTTTATTTGCGATCCTAGTAATAGTTCTTATACACAAGAGAAGGATTGAATTGTTATTGTTCGCCCAGTAAGTGAATCAAGAGCTTTGCTGTCACTGGTTGTGAATACTTTATTCTCTGGTAAACAGGTAATTCAACCTGCCCAATGGTCTTTGTTCCTTTGGTCAACACGTGAATGTATTAAAAAGATTATTGTAGTTACAGAGACAACTATTACCACTTATTGCAATAGCCCTTTGTGAGAAGTCATTCTTCTCTTGCCCTAATTTATCATCTTATTGTCAACCAAAAATACCTCCACTGTGGTGGACAAGAAAAGTGACAGAGACCTCTTTGATATTATCCTAACTTGACTAAAACCATTATATTGTATTATTTATTTGGGACAATTAAAATGAATTATTGAAAACGATAGCACAATAAAAGCGATTGTTCTAGATATTTAAAAAAATTTAGTACTTGGAATTAATTTACGCTAATAGTTAAAAAATGAGTCTGTGCCACTTTTCTTGTCCACCGGGAGAATGCCGCAGTCTTCTTCATTAATGGATAACAGGTCTCCGTTGACTTGAAAGCGCAAGTCTGACTCGTTTTTCTTTGTATTGCCCTGGAATTCTGAGTTCTGAGTTCATTGCCTGGTAAGGTTAGTGAGAATGGCCGTAAAATAGTAAATTAACAAGGTTTGTGGCTTTCGTTAACCTAACTCCCCAAGGAATGAGTTTAACCGTTCAGGGTAGCTTAAACTTGAGGATTCCCCTTTCCCAATTGAATGGAATCCTCTTCCATGTCTTGCACTCATAGGAGCCTAAATTTTGTACTTGGTAAATCATACTTGTGCAGCGGACTGGATAAGGATTCACCGAACATATATATCATTGAAAACATGAATTAATCAAGCTCCCTGCCACAACACATTGACTAATATTTTCTGAGCAGAAATTTGCCAGAGTTCCATCTTGTACTACCGGTACTTCAATTCATTCTACCAACTCTACTTGATACTGACTGTGCTTCACAGTTCCCAAAAATAGACGGATAGCGTAACTTCTACAAGCTTGAAGCTTGAAGAGACAACCATGATCTGAACATACCGTCTGGAATGTTGTTTGGGTTCATCCCAACGGACCGCGCCTGTCTCATCTACCTCAATGCTAGGCATATCCTTATAGTGTTCGTCTATTTATTGCAGTTTGATGTTCTGTCCCTGAAAACACGTGATGCTACTAACAACTGCGATTCCACGATCGCCACACTAGGCCGCGTCATAAGAGAGAAGAAACTCTACTGATTCGTCAGAATAGTATCCGTACACGATCATCCTTGCATGAACTGAATTACAGTTAGAAAAGTGCCCCTTGGAAGGTCACGTGCTGTCCTCGGCAGGGAACCCAAAGCGAAATGCACTGGGCGCCAAGAGGAAATGTCACAACATCAATTTCAATCACTTTAACATTGCTTATCAACAAGGCCTGATCTTGCAAATGACTCTGTAAGCGAGTGCATTCCAAGTACGCCAATACATTCGTATCCGCTCCCGACCCCCCCTTGGCCTTCCCCAAGTCTGGGCAACACTTGGGTTTATGGCTGTGTTGTCCTGACAGCTTGGCGGGGTCGGATGAAGAAGGATTTCCATTCACCCTATTTACGGTGTACTCCCCTCGTTCCCTACACCTATTCCGCTGTTGTGTTTGCAATCGTCACTCTCTCTAAAAACGCCACTTTCATTGATCGATTTGGTTGCTCAGCTGTGGCACACGATTCATGGCTTAGATCCCAACCTTCTCCTTTTCCTTCCCACTCACTATTTGCAATAATTTGCAATCAAAACACCGAAAACGTCCAACATCATGAGAATCCCTTCGTTTTCCTACTCGGTCACGATCTGTACACTAGCCGGACGACTCGCGAATGCTGCTATCACTTTAGATCTTCAGGATGATAACTCTATCAAGAGGGCAGCCAGCACAGCTGCTTATGACATGATGGTGTACTGTTAGTACATACGGCGGTGGTTCTAGTTGATTCACAATACTAATGGGTTTTCTAGATACGGGAAACAGAACGGGAGACACACCAGGAAATTTACCAGATCCATATTACTGGTGGGAATGCGGAGCCATGTTAGTGTTTGTTCAACTCTGGCAATGGTGTCATGATTAACAGTGGTCTTCACATAGGTTCGGCTCATTAATAAACTACTGGTATTACACAGGAGACACCTCATACAACGAGGCCGTGACCCAAGGACTGTTACATCAAGCTGGAGAAGAGTTCGATTTCATGCCAGTGAATCAGTCAAAGACACTTGGAAACGATGATCAGGCATTCTGGGGAATGGCCGCCATGACAGCGGCAGAGACAGGTTTTCCGGATCCTCCGAGCGGACAACCCGGTTGGCTCGCACTTGCCAAGACGGTTTTCAATACGCAAACACCAAGATGGGATCCTTCTTGTGGTGGTGGACTTCGGTGGCAGATTTTTCCATTCAACAACGGGTATAACTATAAGAACTCGATTTCCAACGGATGTTATTTTAATTTGGCGGCACGCCTCGCGCTATACTCAGGCAATCAGTCATATGCCGACGAGGCGATAAGGACTTGGGACTGGATGTGGAACGTCAACCTGATCAAACACGATTCCTACCATATTGTGGATGGAGCTCATAATACCGACAATTGCACCCAGATGGATACAAATACCTGGACGTACAATAGCGGTGTCTTTCTTCTGGGGGCCGCCGCGATGTACAACTTTACGAATGGTGCTGAGCCATGGAAAACCCGGGTAGACAGGCTTATTGAAGCTGGTCAAAAGTTTTTCATGGAAGGCGTCATGTATGAGCCGTGCGAGCCTACCAAAAAATGCAATATCGATCAACGTAGTTTCAAAGCATACTATGTTCGCTGGCTCGCGGCAACGGCAAAACTGGTACCATACACGCACGACAATATCATGATGGAATTCCAGACATCTGCCATGGCCGCCGTCAAAACATGTACTGCTGGAAAAACCGGAACTGCTTGTGGACTGAAATGGACCGATAGAGTCAACGACGGAAGTCTGGGGGTAGGCGAGCAGATGGCAGTAATGGAAGTTATACAGAGCAATCTGGTGGACAAAGCACCTAGATGGAGATCAGAGGTTCTAGGAACGGGAATAAGTAAAGGAGACATAGCCGGAACTGGGAGCACGGATACCCAGAAATTACTGGGAAAACCCATTACAACAGGCGACAAAGTGGGAGCTGGCTTTCTGACTCTGGGGATGCTTGTTGGGATTATCGGGTCGGTCGCAATTATGCTAAGTCCTGATTAATACTCTTTCGAGGCAGTTTTTGGGATGCATTTGTTCGGAGTTATTGTTTTTATAAAATCAGCATCGGTGTTGGTTTACGGTTTTGGGATTCTATTCTTATTCATATTGTATATCTATTTCTGACGGAAGGCGAGTAGGTATTTATACCCTAAGGCTTCCTCCTCGCAGTCTCGTTGTACACCATGATATTTATTTATATTTACCACATATCAAAAGTCATCTTTTCAGATTTCCTTTATGTCCACTAATTTGGGTAGTGTTCTTGACCCTGGAAATGTATAGAGAGAGGTCTTTGGACTATGGGTATTTATCAAGCCTTCTCTCTAGCCGGCTTCTGCTTTCTAACATTTTGCGCTTTTTCGAACACTTGAGATTCCCACAATTCTGAATGGTTCAAAATTCTAACTTTACATTTTATCCTTCTTATTAATTCGAATTTAGTATTCTGATTTGTATTCTACTTAATTAATAGTAGTCTTAGAAGAACAAAAGATCAAACTTATTATTATGATCAACAACTTTCAGTTGTTAGTAAGTGAACATAAGAATACCTTCTCACTCTCCTAGTGGATAAAAAGGTCGTAGAGACTTCTTTTATCTTAGCCTGACTTGACTAAAACTATTCTATTCTATTATCTATTTTGATTAATTGATATAATTAATCTAAAACCATAGGTCTACAATGAAGGGAATTGTTCTAGATATTCTAAACATTTAAGTACTTGAAATTAACTTACGCAAATAGTTATAAAATGCGTCACTGCCACTTTTCTTGCCCATAATTTGGCACAACATCGCATTTTACATCTCGTTAAATGTCGCGATGCCGTGCAGCTTCCGATCCATAACTACATCACGGCTCCACCTTCAAGTATGCGGCACGAACCCACAACTGCAAAAATCTAGAACGCCGCAACGCGTCCAGCGCTACATGTCCTGAACCAATCAATATCCGTTTCCAACCATAGCAAAAGAAATGATTGTCGTCTACTTTTCCCTTCACTGCGGCCTACCCCTGTGTACCCCCAGTTTCCTTAAGCGAGTGACGTCAGTCAGATGCGCCTCGCGGGAAGGACAGCGAAAAACAAGGAAGGCCAAAACTTGATGAAGATGCCGTATGTTGTGCGATGATGATAGAGTACAATTGCATGTTCATAAAAGAGGAAGGCTTTCCATTTCACCGGTCGTATTTGAATTCTAATTTATTATCCAAAGTCGTTGCTTCTTAAACTATTTATCGGTCAAATTATTCTGTCCTCGGTTCCCGTAATCCCCACTGGACCAACTTCAAACAAGTCTTTCCATCTACTCCTAAAGAAGAAAAGGTATTGTTATATCTTCTTGTTCCTGTTTTCTACGAGGAGTTGGTTTCGCGATCGGCTGTTTGTGTATATAAGAAATACAGCCACTAATGCCTCAATCAATAGTAACAAACCACCATCATGTCCGAAACCAAAACCCAAGAAAGAGAAGAAGAAAATCAAGACTACGAGTACGAAAGCGAGACGGAAACACCCTCCGAACAAACTGAAGACAAGCAACTTCAACGAGCCACCTCACAACAACAACAAATGCAACCCGCGCAACCACAACCCCAGCCCCAGCCCCAGCCTCAGCAACAACAACAACAGATGATTCCACCACGTCCCGAAGGCTACCGTCCAGCTGCAATCCGCGAATCGAGGATCAAGGATCGCCCACAGAAGGACATGGATAATAGTTTGAAGATCAAGATTGAGCTGGATCTGGAAGTCGAGGTACGTGTTCATCACAAGGAACAGTGTGAGATTATCGTCAGAGGGAAACGGAAAGACTGACTTTTGTGCGCACTGGTAGGTTGATCTTTACGCCCGTGTCAAGGGTGACGTGACGATCGGGTTGATGTGAATAAGGAATGTTTTTGATGACATTTCGTTATGATAGGATTTTGTTACGCGAGTAGATTATTTGGGTGTGAACCGTTCCTGTAATTTTCTTGGCATGGTGCCGCTGGGAAATGGTGTTTGGGAAGCGAGTTTAGGATGCGTATCCTTGGAATCAATAATTTCTTGATTGTGCAGTTCTTTGTGTAGTATCTATGTGAATTGCGAGGTTCCATGTTATTTAATATTATGATCGAGGGATTGTTTTATCAAATTGAATATTATTATATTAACAAACCCTTCATCAACAATGTCCACCTGAGCATATTATACGGATACCCAAATTAAATTCTCAGTCAAGATTTTCTTGACTAAGCAGTCCTGATAGTCCAGAAGTATTGCACTCTGAGAGCAGCTCTCAGATTAATAAAAATGTCACTTACATAGCCTTTAACCTGGTCAATAGCTCCCAGACTTCAATCCCATGTTCTAACATATTCAACCAGAGGTACTACACTTGTTATATGTAAGTGTCATTACAAACCCCGGATTGTTATTTTCAGAATGCAGGGCATAGTATAAAAATCAACCTAAACATACACATAGAACATGACCAACACCCCTTTTAATCCATCACAGTTTCACTCTATAATTTTTCTCTCATCCAATTCTTATCATTCTCACAAGTAAGACCTCCCATTCTTAGCCCTACCTTGACTCTTGGGGGGGAAGACTACAATTACATTGCAGAAAATAGTATGGGAGTCAAAAGTGTGGAAGAAAACAGGATGTAGATTGAGGAGTATGGAGCTATCTACAGTATATGTGGATCACACAGCTGGCCGCTGATTTCTCATCGCTGAACACTGGTAACTATGCCTAGGTCAATTGTGATCGTGAAATCTTTTGGAAAGACACTTATATCTAAAAGAAACCGCGTTGCACGAGGATTTTGGGTCATACAGCGAATTAAAAATAGTAACGAGAAAAACGAACTCGACGGTGCTCGCGAGCTCGTGCTCTCCAATTTATACCTTATTACTCTGGTGCTCAATGCATTTATAAACGCGTATGTGGTCCTACGTTGATTGGGTTCATATAAGCTATATACGTAACGAGGTATATAGATATAAAGATAGGGAAACAGATTGACATATAGAAATGGTGGCAGGGAGATTAAAAGATAGAGTAACAGAGAGATAGATATGAATAGAAGAAACATGGAGAGGTGTAGAGAAGGGAGTAGGGGAGAATGGAAACCAGGAGTAAAAAAGGTTCTGTTTTAACCAAGGGGATTCCTACTAAGCACAAAACACATAACCACCACTCTATAAGGATTACTTTCTATATACTCCAGAACCAACTAGTAGGTAGCGTAGTAGATGTAACTGATCACTCTAGCTTAATTATCTTTGTACATTCAATTGAATGGACTTAATATTATATGCTTCGAACTATAACGTCTAACCTGAAAGTATAATCTATAAAAGGCCCGACAGATCAAGTGTGCCTCACAACTCCGTCGAAGAACACTAGAAAGTTGACTGTATACTTAAAACCCGCTAACACTTCTCTTTCCAATCTCGCACTCTGCGACGCGAGGTTCCAAGTCTTTCAATCTACCGTACCTTCAGAAATAACGGAAATGCAGTTCCGACCCATTCTCCTCCTCTGTCTAACATCCGGCGTCGTCTGCGAATACTACTATCGAGCATCATGTAAAAATTCCCACGTAAGTCTCTTTCCTCCTTCCCTTCCCCTCCCCTTCCCTTCGACATCATCCCTCCTCTTTCCGTCTCGTCTCTAACTCCTCGTCATCAGGGAACCTGGGATCAACAAGCCACCAAGACCGCGTGCGACATATACAGTTGCGCCGGGACATACTTCGAAGACGAAACAAAGCGGCCATTTTGCAGCACAAAGAATGGATTGATTGAGTCTGGGAAGGTGGGTTTAGATCTCTCGTGGGGTAAGGGGTGTGTTGTGAGAGGGATGGGGAGCTGATGATGGCTAGTGGAATCGGTCTTGTTTTATTGCTCGTGCTGCCGAGGGGATGGGGAATATAATTTGGAATTGAAGGGGGTGTGGATTGTTTGGGAGGAGGTGGGATAAGCAGACTTGAGATGGGGATTATATACAGTACCTAATAGTGGGTGCCGCGATACGGAGTTTAAAATGTCTGCTGTAGCAAGGATTTTCTTTCACCCTGCTTATCATTGATTGTCTGCTAGAGCCGATGTTGAAATACTAGCTATCCACCCCCTTCCTTAATCAAATTAGCCCATTTAGTAGTAAGAGAGGCGAGCATTGCTCTAATACGCTATTAAAAGTCGTTATACCAAAAGTCTAGAACAACTTAAATCAATTGTCTTATTTTACCTAGTTAAATTATGAGTAAAAAGTATTATTAATTATTCTGAACTATTTATATAATTGCTTTGGTTATATAAGGTCTTAAGGATAATATTTTTATAACTTAGGCGTATATAGAGCAATGCTTGCCTCTCGTACAAATACAAACAGCCAGTTATTCTCAGCTACTAAATAGCAAGCCCATTCTCACTTTCATACTCGAAACAATAGATACCTAACAAACTAGAAAAAAGCATAAAACCGCTCCATCGGCTCCGAAAGGAGGGACAACTTGCCCCTCCAGTCTATTACCATCCATAAAACCAAACGTAACAAATCTGCCCCTACCTCGCCGCCTCAGCTCTTTCTACCTTCATAAAACAATCTTCGAACCAGAATCCCATCCAAAATTCCCAAGTACTTTCACTTACCACCTAGAAACCCCTCGACCCTCCACCGATTCAAGATGAGAGAAAGAACATAAAAGCTAAGATCCTTTTTAAAAAAACACCCCACAAAGTAGAGAATTAAACTTTATCCCCAGGATTCAGAACACCTAAAACATCACGAACAAAGAAAACTAAAGTATACCAATACACCCACTTCTCCAACGCTCAATGAGTATACACAACCCCAATAAAGCACCAAATCCCCCATCGCTCTCTTATCTGTTCCAAGCTCTACCATGACGATTTCTATCCTTCGTCCCCCTCTTCTGGTCGCACTTTACTTAGGATAAAGAGAGTAAAGTAGAAACTGATATATCACAAGGTGAAAGTGTAGTAGCATTATCCATTCACCTTAATAAAACCATCATTAGCCTTATAAAAACCCACAAAGCGTCGAGGCTTTCGTTTAGCTATCGAGTATGTATACCCACGCGTACTCGTGCTAATTTATTTTTTATATCCTCTCATTGAATCTTAGATATCCCCGAATATACCACAGACACTAGATACACAAACACCAAATTCCAAACAACATTATCGTACAAGTTATCAAAACCCCTCCCTTCCCATCTTCCCACCTTCCCTTCTCCCGCCCTCTCCTAGCCAAAAGAACGTATACCCCCCACATTCACCAGTCCCGCTACTATCCCTACTACTCACTAGATTAACCCCTTCTTTCTTCCCTCTTTCCTTCCCTTTTTAACCCCAAATCTCACCCCTTTATCTTCAGGCCAAATCCCTAAACAACTCCCTCCCCACGAAACAAAATTTCTCACTTTCACCCTACTATTTTTTTTAAAATTTGAACGGAAGAGGCTGAAGGATATTTAGACTCTTACTCTCCCCTATTACATAGTTATTTACCCACTTACTTACTCACTTGTTCTACTATACAAGTAAGTTTTACCTCCTATCCCATTCCCTAATAACACGTCTTGCCCTATAAGAATATAAACCTCTTACTACAAAAAACACATTTTAAAGTAGATCAAGTATAGTACTATACTGTACGTATGAATAATTTACACCAGAAACATAAATACTATAGCAAAGAAAAGAAAAGAAAAGTGTACGCCAAAAGCTCGAACTCAAGCTGAAGGGTTTCGCATCCACCTATCTACGCCTCAGAGGTTTAAGGTAAATTCCATGAAGATTCGACTTTGTAATGTGTTACAAGATTACTCCTGGGATAGACAGTTGACTCGTTTGTATATATATATGGTATGTTTACTTATTTATTTACTCGATCTTTCTTTAGGAATCTTATAGATGGACTTTATTTTATTGTATAGTACAGGTATGAATTATAGATACAGCTACAACTACAGCTATGGTAAAATCTCCATATCATTGGCTGGTTCATAGGCGATGAGATGTTTAGCCGTATTAGGAATATCTCTATCGTGATGGACTTGTTCTCTATGGGCGTCCTTTTAGAAATTAGCATGGTCCTTACACACACACAACCCCCTTCACACATCCCCCTCCCTCCCGGAAACCCCATCCACTCAGGAAAAAAGAAAAGAATAGAGAACTTACCAAATTCCCACGATAACACTCTTCCGAACAAAAAAAGCTAACCACCTCATGAATCTCACAGTCATAACAAATCCCACAGACATCCGTACTATCGACCCTACCCTCCCCACCCGGTCCAATCGCCGGATAATAAGTACAACTCCTCCCCATACAACACAAATGCTCTTGCTTCTCATGATCCGCAAAGTCCTCTTCCGCATGTTCGACAGAACAATAATAGATAGGTCCCCGTCTCCTCCCTTTGCGTTCCAGCCACTCGCAGATGGCGCACTCGATGATTTCCTCGTTGGAGACGTTGATGCTGTCCAGCGGACACTCTTCGAGATTGCAACTCACGTAGCGAGGCGTGAGTTCGCGGTCGTGGATGCGTTGTTCCTTTTCGGCTTTCTTGGCTTTGGCTTTGACGTGGGCAGAGAAGGCCATCTGGAGTTCGTCCATTTCTTGCTGCAGGGCGGAGACTTTGCTGGCTTGGGTGTCGGAGGCTTCTTTTTTCATGGCTTTGACGACTTCGTCGTGGGGAGTGAAACTTTCGAAGACGCGGGCGTATTTGTTTTTGAAGTTCTTTTGCTGAGGTGTGTCTTCAGGTTCAATTTTGCAGTAGAAATTGATGTATGCTTGAGCGCGTTGCGTGGGATTCCTCGCGCCCTGCAGAGATTTGATGAATTCCGCTGTGCCGGGGACCTTGGAATACTGAAGCTGGGATTCGGTGTAGTACTTGATGGTGTCTTGAATATCGCGGCCGTTTCGCAACATGTTTCCTGTTGCGGATTTATACTTGCTGATATCGGCGTCGTCACCCGGCTGAGTGGCACAGATATCATTCTTCAGATGTTCACGTAAGACGCTCTGGAAAATGCGATGCATTTCTTTCAACTGTGGCCCTTCTGCATCGTTAAAGACCTTATCCAGATCTTCTTTCTCGCGGCCTCGACCAGAGGTCCACGGTGCGTTCGCCTGGTAGAAGTCATAGTAGGCCTCGGCAACGCGACGATTCTTGGTTTTGCATCGCGTGCAGTTGGGAGGTCCCGAGTGAGCTGGGGCATGGGGTGACGCGTAGAAGTTTCGAATGGATTTGAGTTTCGATTCGAGTTCTTCTTTTGCGCGTTGAAATTGAGCTGCTTGACTGACTCTCTCATCGAGTGAGTAGGGAAAGGTTGCGTGGTTGAAATCAACGCCCGGGCGAGATCGTTGGCTGTACTCGATGCCCCTGAGTACATTAGCAAGAGATCCCTCATTCATTCTATTTTGTTGTAGCGAGAGTGAGAAGAACCATAGAGAAAGGAGGATGAATGTATGTAAATATCACGTGTAACCAATGATAGCGAACGAGTAGGGTTGTGATGGAAAGAGAGAAACCTACTCCATATGTCCTGTCCCTGTCTTGCTCGGTTGAGATTGACTTTGAAATTACTGTATAGGTTCATCAATGTCAATTATATGCCATCGATCTCCAATTCCAATAGCACAACTATAATTAGAAATCGCTTGTATGTCGTTTAATGTTGTCATGAGTAGAAGGCACCCGCATCTTCCAGATTGGCTACAATTCCCGGGGTAACCACTAGCGCGTATTCTTATCTGATCGGTTGGGGAAACATTCTTCCAGATCTTCCGCCTTCATCAATCCTCTTCGCAAGTCAACACAATTCATCCACCCATCAACAAGAATCTCAAGATGGTAAGTTGCAAACCCAATTTAAACCTATCCTATCTCTGCACACTAACAACTCTTCTCCATAGGCCGATAAACTCCGCGCCCAACAACAACTCGAGCAGCTCCAGGCACGCTACGTCGGCACAGGGCACGCCGACACCACCAAATTCGAGTGGTCCTCCAACATCCAGCGAGACAGTTACGCCAGTTATGTTGGTCATCCCCCTCTATTAAGCTACATGGCCATCGGGATGGGAGAATGCAGGGAGAAGGTTCGAGGGCAGATGATTGAGGTATGTTGCTATTCATACCATTTTGGGAATGCGCCCGGGCTTATGAGGATGTAGAAAATGGTTCAACCGGTAGGAAAACCGCCGGAAGTTCAGGATTGATAGAAAGTATGGTTAGAGCCAGCTTTCTTTCACAGATACTCCGTACAAGGGTGTCCTCAACTTTTATACAGAAAGGCGCAAGCGCTGGCACGGTCGAGAGTTGGGAGTTGGCAATGGCATCTATTGGCTCTGAAATACAATCTGCGAACAAGTAGAGGAAAATCAGGGTATACATCAAAAAAAGAACGGCAGAAAATGTTCTTGCAAGAAAAGCTACAATGCGCCTTATGCGCAAAGTACAAAGGACAAGTCGAAAATATCATTTCTCAATCATCAACCCCCCTTCTTCTGCGAGAAGGGCCAGCTCTACCATTTGCTTCCTCAACTGGCGCCGCCTCTACTCCATTAGCTTCATTGGCTTCAGTGCTTCTAACCTCCATCCCCAGACTTCTCTGTAGCCTTTTATCAAGATCCTCAGGCGCATCGTCGCCCCAGACAGTCTTCACAAATCCCGAAATACCCATATTGCCAATCTCGACTTTTCCTCTTGGTCCAACTCTCCATTCGATTTGTTCCTCGCCGTCCGCCTGCCTGTCATTAAACTTCCAAATGTATCCGTGTTTCATCATTTTAGCCAGCACCACAGTGGTCTTGTCAATAGGCGTGTTTTCTTCCACGTTCAGTCGTCGTAGAAATCTCATGAATTTGTGATCCGCGACTGCGTCATTTGGGTTCATGGAGATGTATGAGACGATGACTGTGCATAGACCCACGTACGCGGCCTCCTCTTCCTCGCTTTCAATGAGGGAGGGTGCAATGATTTCGGGAACTCGGTATGCGATGGGTAATGTGGTGATGAGGATGTATGAGGATGTCGTTGCCTTGGCTGTGCGTTTGGCTTTTGAGGCCGCTATGAGGGGTTAGAATGACCATGAAGAATAGAGAGTACCGCGTAAAGAAAATACCTCTCTTGTCCTTCAATGAAACCTTTTCCCGTCCAGGCAACTCCACCATCTCCATCCCAAATTTACTTCTCAGTATCTTCTGCGCCGCCTCAAAAACACGCTTAAAGGAGCCAACTTTCTTGTTGTTACCCAGAACTAACATATTTAGTATTTGCGCATCTCATTCTTGAAATGATTCCTACTAACCTCTCTCCGGAATACCCGTCCTCTTGATGGGAAGACGTTGAAATTCACACGCCAGCGCATATCGAACAAGTTTCTTGACTACTTGATCCTGACTATCGGCCTCACCATTACCACCGGCGTCCACCCCCTCGCCTTCCTCAGCCTCTTCGCTTTCATCGTCCGAATCTGCGGCTTGTACCCGGCCTCTTACGCGTTGGGTTGGGCGTTCATCTTCTTCTTCCGATTCTTCTTCAATCTAGGGAATGTTAGTGGTTGGGCGGGATCATGGGAGGAGAGCAAACAACTTGACGACGTCTTCGTGAAGGCATTTGAGGGTTGTGTATGGATTTAGAAGTAGGTGCAGGTATTATGAATTGTATGAAGGGTGTACTGTACAATTGTGCAAATTTGGGAATGAGGGGTTGAGGTTGGGGTTGGGTTGGATGAAGTGGCTTGATCAATAGCCTTAGGGGAAGCGGGGGAATGGGAAGAGGAAGACGCGCGCGTTTGGTTTGGAAGTCTCGCGAAGGCACGAGGTTTTCAGCATGCAGGCATGTGGCAGGGTACCTGCTTTCCAGGGAATTGGTCTGTGCAGGTGAGGTGTCTGTGGGTGAGCGGGTGGTGAGAAGCTTGGAGCCCACATGAAGGCCCGGAACTCTACCGATAAGGCCGAAGCTCTCCCGATAAGCCCGCCAAAATATTTCTGGGAGCATACTCTACTCAGCGCACTCGGTATCGAGTACCAGTACGGACTGAGTATTACTTTGGGGTGCAGCTCAACACCACCATTAATACCGATCCCATGCTTCGGAAAGCACTCCCTCCCAGATGGAAGAAGCAGTCGCCGTCGCACATATGCCTCAGTTGCCAGCGGCGTCTGGCGAGGCCAGTCAATCCATCTTCGTCCTATGCCCACGCCTATGCCTATGCGCCAAAGTCATTATATTCGACAGACTCAAATCCTGACCCAGATATCGAATCGAGTACGAGATCCACGATGCTAGAAGAGCCGACCTCAACCTCAACCTCCACCTCAACCTCCGCCTACGTCGCCACCTCAAATTCGAGTAGTAATCATAATGATACCAATCCTTCGCCCAATGTGAAGAGGAGGCTCGTTCCTCTGATAGCCAGCCCCTCTAGATCACGCTGGTCAAATCAGGCCGAATTCGCGCTGAATCCGAACGCCAGGACTTACAAAATGCTGGAAGAACCCACGGGCGATATATTTGGCCAGCGAATGCTGAAGTACAGGGAGACGGAAGAACTCGATACCAAAACATTTGGGGAGCCGTCCAAGATTATTGTCCTTCGACAATCCAAAATCAAGAAGTATGCTTGGGAGGAAACCAGGAATACCATGGGGGAGCACCTCGGTGGAAGTAAGGAGCCGGTGGATCTGGATTCATACATATTAGATAGACTGGATGCCGAGAGAGGTCTGCCGAGCGTGAAAGAGGTGGCAGACAACATCGAAAACTTCAAGCCGAAGAAAGGCGAAGAGCCACGGGATCGGGAACAATGGAATCATCTGATCCAACAAATACAGGAATCCTTTACGACGCCTCAGCTCCTGGAGTATATAGAGTATTACAAGGGGGAAAGGATTTCGGAATTGGACCCCGCGGCGACCACAAAAGCTATATCCTCCAGTCAGGAGGAGGAGGCAAAGATTCTACGGCAAAGTCCCTGGGTGACGGAACTATTTAATACCGACGAGTATTTCGATAGCGGATCCAAGTTACGCGGCTATGCTTTGGCCTCGCATACAAGCAAACAGAAGGTCGTCATTCGACTGCTGAGGGAATGCTGGGAATTGGTTCTGCCGGATGTGGAAAATTCAATAGGTTTAGTGGAAATCGCAATTCGACCGCATCACTTGGAGCTTTTGTTGAGTAAGGTACTACTCAACTTCTTGAGACGATTGCTAATGGTGGTGTCAAGGATCCGATCTATTCCCCCTGTTGAAAGAAGGCCTTGGACGTGCTGGCGAGGACATTGAAACGTTCCCCTCAACAGGGGTTGTAAAAATCACAACCACTCGGAGGCGGTACAAGCCTGTCATAAAGCGAATCGAGTCGGAATTGAAAAACATTCGGATTTTGCCAATATCACTCTCGGATTTGTTGCCCTCTTACCAGAGTGGTGGAAAACTGAGTGTCGATAAGATACAAGAATGGGCTGCTTCGCAATTCGACGATGAGGCACTTCTTGAAATAAGTCGTCTAACCGATACCAAAATAACAAAAATGCCGCAGAACACATCACTGGCAAAGCGACAGGTAGAAGGCCCTTTCTTTTCTAATTGCATCACTGACCTTCTCAGGTTCCAATTTCTATAGCATGTCTCTTAACTCCTACCAATCCTTGGAAATTTACTCGCGCGCAACAGGCTCGCCGTCTCCTTTTGTCTTCTTGTAATCTTGCATTCAGAACTCAACGGTCACTAGGGTGTAGATCATTACCAGAAAACCAACCCGGTTCCTTTGTCGAATATGGTCTGGACACAGGATTACCTTGGCGAGAAAGACTTCGAAAATGGACCAGATTCTCGGCACCAATTGGGAAAGATAACGACAGTGAAGTATCATGTGAAGTCTTCCTCTTTCAAAATCCCAAGGAGCTTGCCTCAATTGATAAGGCCAAAGATGGAGACGATCAACCAAGTACCGTTTCCAAATCTGCTCCTAAATCAGTTGCTGAAGGCGGTGGATCCTTGCTGGGTAGTGACTACTGGAGCGATCAGTATAGCAATACCTCCGAGGCTATTCTAGGGGCTGTTCTGCATACCGATCTAAACTCTCTTGATGGCGTGCCGAAAGCCCCTGTAGGTTCACCAGAGATTATTCATGCATTCAGCCCAACTCTACCAACTATAACGAAACTTATCCAGAATATGAAGAAACCCCGAGATACCAGCAACGATAGTCTTGTTCTACGCTTTCAACCCAATCCCTTTTTCGTGGATCCGGTCACCAAAAAGACTGTTGGAGCTGATGTAATCTCCGCTTTTCCTCCACTTGAAATGGTTTTCGACGCTGTACCAAATCATAATGCTGACTACTTCGCTCCCAAAGACCTCTTCTTGAGATCGGTGGATGCGGTCGTGGAAGAGAAATTCACTGATATCATGCTCCCAGACCAAGCTGTTGATGTCCGTTTGAAACAGAGAAGAACCAGTCGGCTACGCTCGAGGAAACTCGCCATGCCACAAATTACAGAATACCTCCAATTCAGTACTCTCCAAGCTGGACCGCGACGATTAGATCTTCCCCCAACACTGACAATGCCCATCGCTAAACACCTCTGCAACCTTCCCGCCCTCGCAAAATTGAACCGCAACCCTGAAGACGAAATCCACCAAGTCGAATACATATTCGTCGACCGCCAGTTCCGAACTGGGATTTCGCTCTTATACAACAATTGGCGAGTCGCGTATACATACATCAACGCCGGTACCGATGGCAAACGCAGTGAACTCACCATCAAGCCGATAAATCGTGGTACCCATGCTACTAAACAGGAGTACATCAATACCGTTTTTGAGTTGGCCGAGTCGTTTGGGAAATCGGCGTTTAGTGTGAGGAGGGTGATGGAGAATGAGGAGACGGCGAAGCTGGTTAAGTTTGTTACGATTAAGGAGGAAAAGGAGGGTCCAATGCCGACTATGCCCAAGTATACGGCTTTTAGGCCAAGGGATTATGTGAAAGATGGGCGAGAGGAGAGTACTGAGAATTAGGTGGCGGTCTTTTAGTAGAGGACTCGCGAAGATGTGGATTCGGTGTTGGGCGGGTTTCAAGTTCACTTGTTTGGGTAGACAGTATTGCAAGTGCTGAGACTGCAGATACCGAAGGTTTTGGTGTCGAGGGCGAACGGAGTGGAGCGGACGCCGATTTGAACTCCGAGAACGAGAGCTCTAAGGTGTCGAGCATAGAGTGCTGAAGCGGAAATGCGAGTCTTCGAGGAAAGAGGGAGATATCACGAAGTGATGATCATGACGCTACGCTACTCATTCATGCTGTGTTACGGTATCTTGATCTGTTGTGTAGATTTATGGTGCAAGGATACCTTGTAAAGAGGGCTTGGTAGGACTTGGTTGATGAGATGATTATGTATATGTACAGTATAGATATGTAGGAATAGAAAAATGGGGTTGGGGTTATGGAGATGTATGAGTGGTTGATTGACTGGTTGGTTGATGTGATATGATATGATACCTGTGGAGACCATGTTCTTTTTCTTTTATTATTATCATTATCCCTTTTTAGGAGAGATAGAGGGAGAACGTGTGTTCTAAGAGAGAGAGAATACAGCCTACCCTGTCCATTTACTTATTTCTCAAAAATAAAGAAGGATTTACTACTATAGTACTATATCTTTCACTATACTAAGCGAGATCATGATATAGTAAAAGGAAAACCTATCTTAAGTAACTAGAGATTAGAATAAAACTCCCACGCCTACCTACTTCTTCATATATCCGTTTGATTTGTTTTAGGGGCTCAGGCTCTAGAATAAGCAGGTATTATTAGATTCGTATTTCAGTCAGTACCTTGTAACCTTATAAGCCTGGGGAATCTACGAGGTAATGGAAATTCCTAAGATTAGGTGGAGGGGGTACGAGAGGAACGGGGGGATAGGTTTTGTTGCTGTGGTGAGGTGAGGTGAGGTGAGGTGGGGAGATTTATGTATATGATTTTTATTTTGTTTTGGTTCTTGTTTGGGGAGTGAGAATCTGTCAATCTGTATGTATCTTACATTCAAACTGGTTTCTGATTCAGTTTTTGATTCTGGATCTTCTTCGTCTAACTCATTCTGAATTCTGCTATAAAACCACAAGTAAACTGGTCTATCAATCCCTTAAATTTATAAAGGTGTGCAGCTTTAGTTTTTTTAATATAAATAAAGCAAAGGGTCTCCGTTAATTTAATATATAAAATTGTTTGAGTTGTAGCCTTGGAGATTTCATGGAAGTTCCTGATACTGGGGTAAGGCGGAAAGGCGGCATGGGGACGTGGGGTGGATTGGTTCTGCTGTGGCAGTACTGGTGGTACTGAATACTTGGATGGGGGAATTTTATGGTTTGAATTTTCTTGTGTTTTCTGGTTTTTGTAGACTATAGTGAGGTGAGGTGGGGAGATTGGTGTGTGTGTTATTTATTTGGGAACTTGGTGCTGATTCAGTCTTTAATTCTAGACCTTCTTCAGTCCCTCTATTCTACTATTGAATTCAAAATGACAGAAGTAATCCATCAATCCCTCGCATACGCAGGTGCAGCCCCTCGGAAGGCTCTAGCATCACGACAAAGTTGATCCCACTATTTCACACACACATGTTAGCCTTCACATTTCCATCTACCCTTTCACCACGCTATAAGAATACCCGTTCCTCTCACCTCCCATTACGGAACTCTTATAAAGGATGAAAAAGTGGGAAAACATAATCTTACCTTCTTCGGCTCAAGATTGAAACTCATACTCGAACAGACGGGTTTAGGTTCTCCTTCTATTTCGTTTTGGTCCCCGGGTACGAATGTGGCGTCCCCGCCGTAGGCGTTGCAGGCTTTTTCGGTGGTTGTTGCGTCGAAGGTTCCCTGTTTTTACAGTGTCAGTTAGATTGGTTTGGTTTTGGATTTTTGGGATGGGGTCTGGAAGAGAATAGAGAAGGGAGATGGAGGGAGATGGGGGAAGTAAAGACATACCGCCGCGTCTTTGCATGTTGTTAAAAAGAATCCGACACGTCCCGGTGGTGGGGTTTGTAGCTGGCCGTAGACGTGGACTGCTAAGGTGAGGATGAGGAGAGGTTGGAGATGCATTTTGTGAGTGCTTTATCTGGCATGCTTGGAGTGATGGACGAAAAAATAGGGTGACACTGTTGTATGGGAAAGAGGCTGGGGTGATGATCTGTGATACATGATGATAGGGTGGGTTAATATACTCGACTATGTAATATTATGCTTGTTAATTGTATTTCTTGGTTTTATTACGAGTCTTGCAGGTGCAAACATGTACCCTACAGGATGATCGGAGGAGGGGTTTCGTAAAAACCATCCCCCTCCTAAAAGAAACTTATTTCGTGCAAAGTGGGTACACGTTATGGTTTGTAGGGGAGGCAGTGTATTCTAATTTTTACTGTCTAATAAAACTGGACGCAATCGAGTTCATTTAGTGGGCCAGCTTGTTTACTAATATTAAGTATACTATAGTTAGCTTAATTTTGATTGGCTAGAAAAGAATAGGCTTTGCTAGGGCCTACAGAATATACCTACTTTGCACGAAATGACCTTTCTTTTACGGGAGGGGTTAGTAGGTAAGGTTTCCAAGTAATTATAGCGAGATTAAGAATTTATCAACTCGTGTCAATGACGTGACTAGGTAAACGAGAGTAGGTAGGTATTCAAAAGGTACGAGCGGTAAAATCTAAGGTCTAGTACTCTTTTTCATTGTGAATAACTACGCTTCTAAAGTCGACGATCGGGACTTATGGATAATGGTAGGGAAAAAAAAAAAAAACTCGTTATACTTGTCATATTTCATCTTCCAAAAAAAGAATGTAAAAAGGACTATCTAATTCTACGGCCTTCATTGATGACCCTTCTCGCCTTCCCTTGCTTTTAAATACTCTATCCATCGTGACGTATGTCCAGCTTTAACCACCTACTCCTCTTGTAGCACCATACGTCTTGCAGGAAGTGTCCCACTGTCATCACAAATTAGCTCCCACATCGTACAACTAAAACAAGAAAACCCATGTGGCTTATTTTGAACATACAAATTCAGGTACAATATCGGTCCCAGAACTCTTGCAGAAAGGCGTTCCGTCGGGGTCTGGTGTGTATTTGCAATTGGGACAGCCGTTGAATACGTAATTTAAGCAAGCTTTTTTGGTGGCTTCTTCGTTCGGTGTTTTCTATCGGCACACATCAGATACCGTTTTACACATATCAAGTAATGTTGCTCAGAGCGAGTAGTAGGCAAGGAGGAAAGACATACATCGATTCGACATTGTGCTGTTATGTATTTGAATGTTGTAGCTGCATGGGCATGCATCGCCAAAGCGGCGAAGCAGATAAGATTTTGTAGACGCATATTCGGAGATTTCTTGTCGTGAAAACAATCTGTGAAGGCCAATACGGTGGTGGTAGGAAGGCGCTGGTCAATAGATATATATACCTCTGCTACCCTTGCGGAGGTTCTCTTTTACTTCGTCCTTAGTGAAATAAATATAACCTCTTCAGGGGTTCTTGCCCTGTCGCCCGGCTTAGCCACCATTGAAAACTTAAATTTGTTTCGCCAGGGGCAAAGTACGAAGTACGAGCAAAAAATAGATTGATTTCGCGTGATGAGGTAAGGGTATGTTAGGCAGAGGCTTTGCCCACGTAGTACCAGTGATTATATACCGGTAGTAACTTTACACGCGAAAAGGTTTTCTTGTAACGGACCGATTATTTTACAAACTTAATACGGACAGCAGTCTGAGCAGATTAGTATCGAGCTCGAGACTTACAATCAATCACAAAGTAGTGTGGTCTGCTTAGCTTTTTCTTAGTGATCAAAAGGACGTGCTAGTAAATATCTATGCAACTAAATTGAGAGAGAATAACAAAGACGTAGGCCGGTGAGATGATGATGACTATTAAGCCTGTGTAATGATATGCCTTCCGATGAGAAACTATAGTTTCGGGATTTCGGACTTTGATGAATCAGAAAAATAAAGTTTCATGTATTTAAAGGAACGACTGATATTCTTGTATACGGCGGTCCAAGTGTACACTTTGTAAATCGCAAAAGTCACATATTTTCTTCAACTTAAGGGGGTGAACAGTTAAAGCTGGATACTGTCGCTAATCATAGTATGTCTCGGCCCCGATTTTTAGCTGAACCAGCGAATCAAAGACTTATATCTGGCCGATATAGACTTTTCTCACATATGATCTACGTGACAGTGTCTAGCATTGACTGTCCACCCCCTTTATATACAGTACTTAGGTTGCCGTAATAGTAGAGTTGGTTGTGGGTAGTTCACGGATTTGAGCGACCCTTTTTCTTTCTACCACCTACATTCTCATATAGTGTGTCTATCGCTGCGTCGCTGTATCGATATATCTCTCCAGATAGTCTAGCTAGGAACTGACTCCTGTTGAAGTACCAGCATCTCTGCAAAATTGTTCCCGCCGCTGTAAAATCACCCAATTCACCCTTCTTGCACATCGAATTCTTCAAGTAGATATTCTCATTTTTCTACAGTATGCGTACAGACGTATGTTATGTTCATGAATATGACGTTTTGGAAGTGTATTGATGAACGGACCAGTTCTTCTTGGAACTTCAATTCTTGGGACGGACGATGTTTCATACGTATGCAATGGCATATCATCCCAATTCTATAGCGCCACAGCCTTATTCTTGTGAGTTTGTTTGATGCAGTACAATCGTTCTCGTTGTCCTAAACAGAAGAATTCTTCGGGGGTTTTCATAGATTTGATTACATGGAAGTAGCATCATTTAGGTACAAAACACTGTATTTTCAACTTCTAGGCAAGGGATTGTATTCTAAGTCCTGCGGGAACTTCTGCAGAGGGATTTTCTTCTTGAACTTTAGCCTCCTTCGATATTATATCCCACAAGCTCCCTCTAACATTTCCCGCATGATTCACCTGAGGTCGGGAAAGAAGTAGCACTCTCTCCGTCCTTTTAGCCACCAACTGCTCCGTTACCAAGAGCCTTGCAAAGCTCGCCCCACTATAAGAAATCAAGCAATTAGCATCCAGTTCATCTCAGGTCCGAAGAAAGGGGGATATCATTACCTGAACATCATTGATCAGCTGCCTATCGCTGCTGCAACGCGGCCTTGGTGGTCCACCATTTCCGCTTCCATCTATCACCATCTCAAATGTACAATCGCTGCAGTTGAAGGTGGATTTGGCATTGCTACATGCAGTCTTAGTATTTGCCTCATGCAGGCTATTCTATGCAAGGTGTTAGATATATTTGATCATTATATATTTGGAAGAAGGGGGAGAGGAAAAGGTGGATTGGAGTAATGCTGCCTTTCGTTGATTCGATGTGTGAGGCACTTACATCGGCGTTTTTGCAAGATGCAAGTACGTATTGGAAGGCATTAATGCCATTTACTATACCGATAAGGACGAGAATACTTTGGAATTTCATTTTGTTGTTGTATCTGTTTGATGCTGTGCTTGTGGGAACGAGATGTAGATATACTTTCAATTCGTACCTCGGATCAGGAGGTCTAAATAAGAGGTTTGGCAGCATCGTCTTGTATCAGATGGATACTATTCTTGGTTGGCATGGTTTAGGTTGTAACTGAAAGTATAAATCATGAACAGGCCGATATGCCACTTTGGCTGTTAGTTGCAATGCACGTCACTTTTAACAGTGCATTAATGATAAAACCGAGGTGCACCTGGTTTTCTTCGATTGAGAGTACGCTTACCACCATTTGCCACCACTGCGCCTCGCTTCCTTAGCATAGTGAACCAGCAGGGAGGAGCTTATTTCTCGAAGTTTACGGAGTAGCTCGCGTAGCATGTAAGATTACCGTAACTCGGATTCTGCTTGGCATGTACCGTAACTCGGTTTCCACGGTACATACGAAATCCACGGACGAGTGAAACAGCTTAAGAGTGTCAATCTTGGCGTGAGAAAATTACAATTCGCTCTAAATTCATAAAACGAACCCTAACTCGGTATATTCCGCACCTATTCCGTAAGAAATTTCGGGCGCACATATACTCGTCGGGTTCATAAGTCTGAATCACCTAACGCCGAAATCATTTCTACTACTACCTAAAATCTCTACAACCCTCAATATTAATTATACTTACGTACCTAAAACAAGCACCTAGTAGTTTTTAGAGGATGCGTATATATTAGCTTTAGTTACATTTAGGAGTTGTGATCTGTAAATTTTAGTTGTAGAAGCAACATCGGCGTTGGTGATTCAGACTTATGAACCCGACGAGTTATGTTATACATTAAGATATTATATCATGTCGTCCCAGGTAAAATCGAAGTATCTCATCCAGGAATATCGATTTTGCAGCCTCGCTGCCCTGAAAAGGTTGTATATCGAGAGCATTCTCGTCTGAGGCCCAGCAAGCTTACAATCTGATGATTACTAGTCTCCTGAGAAATGTGCTCTGCAACTTCGCACAAGTAGGTATACCTCGCAGAGAGCTTGGAAACATCAGACTATAGCCATCATCTTTAACCGGTACAAGGTTGTTTTGAAGACAAGCTGACACCGGTAGTCACATGTACTGTATAGTGCCGGTGAAACTTTAAATTTTTAAATTCGAATTGCTACCATAGTCAAGAGTTCCATGCCTGGACTTGGTTTGATCTCCGTGGTCACGTGAAATAACAGCCTAAGGTATTTATAAATTACCGGTAATCGAATGTCTGTAGTTAATTAGCTATATAATTAGATCCTCGAGGCAAGTGTAAGTAACTCGAGATATCTACTAATGTTATTATATATTATTAAATTACGTAAGATAAAATTCACGTAATATAAAATCACATTCTAGAAATTTAGGGCAAGAATTTTAAAAACAGAATATATTTAAGTTGATACTAAAAAATACCTTCCAAATCTATTTAACTTGAAAAACACACACGAAGAGGCGAACCAATAGCTTACTTAACTAATTCATTATATAGCCCAGATCTACAAAATTCTTCTTTACCCCACTTTGAAAAGCCCTTGGCAAAACCCCGAGTGAAAATCTCCCAAACCAACAAAAAGATACGCACCACAAGTCTTTGCGTTTTAGAAGAAACAAGAACGAGGATAGGGAAAAAAATAAACAGTAGAGATTCCATACCAGGGAGTCGAACCCTGCGCTACCGCGATCCAATCATAGAATGAGAGGCGGAAATGTTACCGATACACCAGTATGGATGGTTTTCATCCGCCAAAGTCGTGTTTTTGTTGGATGTTTGCCGGATTTTTATTTAATGATACGTCACTCTGAGTAAGAATTGGTTTGTGGGTGAAAACTTTCGGAGGGGTAAGAGGTGGGGCCTTGGTAGTGTTTAGTATGTCCCCTCCTTTCCTTTCCTAAGCCTCTGGAAAGGAGCAGGAGAGCTATATAAATAGCTAGTAAAGGAGAGAATGTCAGATTATTTTGTTATATGGGAGTAGTTATAGAAAGTATAGATTTAGAAGAGGAGTGAAAGGAGAGGCTAAAATAAGGTTAAAAAATAAGGCTATTTATAAATTAAATAATAATCAGAATATAACTAGAATCCTTGTATAACAATCGAAAGTTATTTAAGGGGTACTCTAGTTACCTCTTTCTTTCTACGTTCTAATTATTTGTTTACTAGAGTAGTTAATAGTCATTTAATCTAATAAGTGGTTTCCACCGCACAGGACCTACATACATGGAATGGAACACGAAGGAGGGGTATTGTGACAGACGTGCTTCAGGTAGAACTCAGAACAATTAACACTCTATTCTTAGGACAAAAGACGAGGAAAGAAGGAGAGCTCTAGTGAGCTGGGAACTAAATACAGGTCGTGCGCGCTAGCGCCTCGCTAAGCGAGCATGTGACATCCAGCCCTCGTGACCATAACCGTCACAGGTATCTACTAGGGCTATATAAGTTAGACTCCCACCTATAGTTATTAGCTCCCTAGTTATCTAAATATAACTCTTCTAGTACCCTGGCGTTCTATATTCCTAGTAAAAGCTAATAAAGTAATAGTAAAAATAAATAAGCTATTATTAATAACCTAATAAAAGATATTAAGATTCTAGGGAATAATAAACTCCTTATACTTGAAAGTATACTAAGCTCTTAGCTATATTTGAATTAGTATTTCTATTTTTTTCACTTCTATTTTTTTGATCTACTTACTTACTTATTAGATATATCTAGTAAAAAGACCTACCTCTTCTAATAATAAGAAAGTTGGTAGGAATAATTACTATAAGTAGTTAAGTACTTATATAAAGATAAAAAGAAGAGCAAAAGATAGGATTTCAAATAAAGTCTTATATCGAACTAGATCGGGAGTTTCTCTTTTGACGACGAAGAATTCTCCCATGCGTCAAGACACCTTGTTTACAATTTAGAACAATGAAAGATACTTCATACTAATACTTCTGGGGTATAATCTACCATCTACCATAACGCTCTAACTACCGTGTAAAGAGAGCCCAAAAAAAACGATGCCAGTCCCAAAGACCAACCGACCACAAACCGAAGCATTTCATACTACTCCTCTTTCTTCCCCGGCAATACAAGTTCAGCACCCAAACTTTGCTTCCCCTTCGGTTCCGACAGCGAGAACAAAAATACATGATGAGCATGTTCATCTTTTTTCTTCTCACCATCCTTCTTCTCATCCTCCCATTTCTCCTGTTCAGAATCCGGTTCATAGTAATCCAAACTCCCATCCTCGGTATAATTCCAGATCAAAGTGAGTTCCCCTCGATAAGCAGCCGTACCCCACAATGCTCCCAGAACCCCGGGAACAAGATACAGGAGAGCGGGCTGAGCGTGGTTAAAAATGTTGAGAACGATGAGGGTGGCGAACATGCCGAAAATATAGCCCACGACACTGGCTTTAAAGTAGACTTTTGAGAAGCGTGCACCATCGGCAATAGTTGCTTCTGAGGTGGCTTTTGGAGGGTTGGTCCAGAACCGTTCTCCCCAAAGAGTGGTGGAAGGTTCGTATACGGCTCTGGTGGGTTTTTGGTCATCGTTGACGAGAGCTTTATTTGGGATGCTTGATTGCTTGCGGAGGTAGTGGAGGTAGAGATCAAATCGTAAGGCGAGAGCCATCATTATTCCTGGTAAGACGACATCTCCTAAACCAAGCATACCGCCACGTTTAGGTCCTGGGAAAACAAGTTTGATGGGAACGTCGAGGGTAGTAGCTACGGTAACCATGAGTGGTGTGTAAAAAACCATTGTGATATCGTAGATAAAAAGCCCAGCCAATACCAAAGACCCGGTCCAGAAAGTTGTGGGCGACAGAAGTTGTAGGGTACCGTAGCAGAAACCAAATCCGATGAGATTGGTCAACCACCAAGTTTTTCCAATGGTGTTGTAAAGAATTATGGCTGTAAGTCCCAAAACCAATCCCATCACATCATTCAGTCTAACTCTGGATTTATGATCGCAAATGCCATGGACACGAGCTCTGAAAATCCATTTGTTTATGAGGAATGCTCTCAAGGACCACAATTTGTTGGTGAAAGATTTGGAAAACTTGATGTTAGAAAGTAGACCAGGAAGTGGGTTTGTTTTTCCCCCAGCGATCGTGCGATGTTGTTGAATTCGAGCTACGTTGGCATTTCCAGTGAGTTGCTTGCGAAGCATCTGATCGACATGGTATGTTTCCTCTCCACTCGACCACACAGACGGGAAGAAGAAGCCAGTTGCCACATTTAGACTATCTCCCGCCAACTTTCCAACACCAAAGACTCCCAGAGCCGAAAAATACCAAGTGAGTATTTTGTTCAGAATTGCTGGATCTTTCAACCACTTTATCACAAAGTAAAGGCCGGCCAAGGTGATACCAGCCAGGACCGGGAACATAATCGCATCAGATGGCGTCAGGCCCTCCACAACTGGTTCCTTTTCGATTCCATCATCTTCACCATCTTCGTTCTCCTCGTTCACTGGTGCTTTGGCTGAGGGAGGACGTCGTAAAGATGCATGTGCACCAATGAAGATGGGGAACAGAGCGGCCAGAATGAGATGAGTGTGCATCTGGATCAGATCCGTTTCTTCGTAGGCCTTGTAGGCCCATTTTCCAAGAAGTTGTAAGAGTGGACTGTCTCCATCGAAGAAGCTGGATGTTGCTTCCATCCTGGTACTGTCAGGTGTTTCTCTGCGTTTGCCTTAGAGAAGATGAGGCGAATTCGATAGAGACAAATCTCTATATCATCGAGGTGGCCAAGGAGACTCAATAAGGGGATTTGCGAAGGGTACTGCAAGGCTTGAGAAGAAGCTCATTTGTGACTGAGTTGAGAAATTTTGGAGATGTGTTCTCATGGACGAAGTTGTTGGTGGATACAAATACCTGGAGGAGTACTCGTACCGAAAAATAAGCGGGTCCTATGCAATGCAGTACCAGTACAAGTACCGTGTGAATCTCAGCCTTGCGCCTTGGCAGCGACATCTGCAGCTCTCGTGAATGTGATTCGATTTTGTCAACACCACCATTCTTCTCCTTGAACCTCTACATCTGCACCAGTGACCTCCTCAGCATGGCAACCACCAATGTGCTTCTGACCACCTCAATGGCAAGAAATCCCAATCCACGGTGTATATCCCATTCATATATTAACACTATCCAGGGAGAAATCACCGTCGAACTCTACCACGACCATGCCCCAAAGACCTGCAAGAACTTCTCCGAGCTCGCCTCCCGTGGCTACTATGACGGAATCATATTCCATCGGATCATTCCCAAGTTTATGCTGCAGACGGGTGATCCAACTGGCACAGGTCGTGGAGGCTCCTCGATCTATGGTGATAAGTTCGAAGACGAAATTCACCCAGCATTGAAGCATACAGGCGCAGGCATCCTAAGCATGGCAAATAGCGGTCCCAACACAAATGGCAGTCAGTTCTTCATTACGCTGGCACCAACTCCGTGGTTGGACGGAAAGCACACTATTTTTGGTCGCGTGAAGAGTGGACTGGACAAGGTGGACATGATGCAGCGAGTACCAACCGACCCTGATGACAAACCCAGGGATGAGGTTAAGATCATTACCGCAAGGGTTCTAACGGCGGGCTGAGGGCTGAGCTGTTGTTTCTGAAACGAGATACGCGAATGGGAAAATGCTTCATTGGGAAATGCGACATGGTATCGCGTTACAGGTGGGTGGGCACGATTTCCGTCTTAATTCGACGAGGTATGGCCGACTGATCACGTCCTGTGGAAAGCTTAGAAGTATCTAAGACTGCAGTACCTAAGAGTGAAGAAATTCTTTCTTGCGTTCAGCCCCGTTCCTTGTCTTGGGTGTCTTGAGAATGGGTGCTCTTTTCCATTGGCACAGAATTTCCCTGGTTGAGACTATTCGGGCTCGATCAAACATTATCATTTATCGTGATTACAGAATTATAAAGACAGGCCTACAACTTTTCAAAAGCTTCCAAACTCTTCAATATTATCTCAATCTCTGAAAACTTTCAACCCCAAGGGCTTTCCACAAAAAGTAAAAAAACACAAAAAAGGGTATTCCAACTCCAGAAAACTCCGAAATGTCCATTTTTCCGTCCGATTGATCAACCAATCAACCAGCCACCCGGTCTAGTCCATGCTCAAATGAAGTTGCCATGAGCAGCTTCCCCGTTGTCGGACCTCCTGTTTTTCGAGTTCCTCCTCGACCTCGCCTCAATACCAGAAAACAAAATTTGTCCGCAAGCCTCCCAAGCAGCCTGTTTGATTTCTTCTGGTAGTGTTGGTCTCTCCTCGCTTTCACTCTCGTCTCTCAAAGGCCATGCCTCCTCAGTTCTCTCAGGAGGCGCAGGAAGTACTTTGACGTTTCGAATTTCATCGTTGTGTTGTCTGATTTGAGAATATCTGTTTTGTTATGTTAATACAAAAGCCTCAAGTCTTTTTGGCGAGTAGTATGATTTACCTTTCATGTGCGTAGAAGCCTGGGGGATAAGGATATTGTGGGTTTTTCATAGTGTAATGCACTCCGTTCCTCGTTAGTCGTGCTCTGTAGAGGCTTTTGAGCAAGTCCTCGGTGATCATCCAAAGAGGTGTGGCTGGCATAAAGATGTAGTGCATGTTGAGCTGCGAAAAGATGAGAATAAGGAAAGTGGCTTTCGAGAACTTGCTTGAACGAGTGCTGATGGTTGTCGTGTTATGATCCTGTGGGAGTGATTCTCTATTCATACTTATAATTCTTCATATATCGAGTGGCGTAGCGTTTTCCGGGCCTATTCTCTCCTAGGGCTGAACCTTAAACGACCTTGAAGGAGAGAGCGATTGGTTCTCAGATCTCATCGTCCGGCCTACGAACCGAGTGCTTGGCGGCTTTGTTGACCACTCTATCTAGATCTCTTGTGGGGGTTTTGAGGGTCTTCTGGAAGCCTCAATCCACATTCTATCCACAATTAGGGCAGTTCCTGTGAATCCTCCAGATTCTCAAACTGACCGTCTCTTTGACTTATAAGATCCGTCAGATTTACGTCAACTAGTTGTTGAAGATCTACTTTCCTCACGTTATTTTTGGTCGTATACTCGTATGAGTCATTGTTGTATGATCACGAGCTATGTTGGCTGCGTAGGACCGATATCACCACAGAGTATAATTCTCGTAAGCGCCACTGTGTACAGGTATCATCGTTGCTCTTACTCTCCCATCTTTATTTTTGAATACAAGGACAGTGGACACTGAGGATTTCCGGTCTGTGCTCGGGCATTGTCCGATGGAGCTGGTCTGTGCCTTTAACGAGGGTCGGATAGTGGGGATATAAAGTTTCACTGTATGGGAAACAACCGCGCTGCCTCCGGAAGAACAAACAGGCAAACACAAAACAAATCGCCCACTATTGATATAAGAATTTTGTGGCTATCATGGATTCTATGACTACGTGTTTAAAGTTTCTTCTTCAGGAAGTGGCAGACTGAAAATTCTTGTTCTAATGTTTTCTTCCGGCGGAGATTGTGAGCTTCGTACCAGTAGCTGGATGGACGGAGGACCTCCGTAACTTTGCCTCTAGCTCTACCTCATGAGGCGCTGCTGTCAGCGTTAGTATTGGTATGTTACAGATGGTGGACTAGATCCCACGCGCGTGAGCCACAGGGTCCGGCCCAAGTCCAAATGGGCAAGGTCTAGTCTACGGAATGCCTATCCTCCATGACGAAGATCTGTTCCTGACTACTCTTAGCTCTGGATCACTTCGCTATCTAATCGGAGGAGATGGTAGTAACAGATCCCGAGCTGCATCTTCGTTTTCGGAAGCCGTAAGCACCTAATCGAGAAGTCTCTATGAGCGAATATCAGATGCCCAGTCAAATTCTGGCCAGGGATGCTAACTCTAGAGGTCCGTATCCCGGTGGAATACACAGTTCTACAGTTGCGAAGCAAGCCTGGGAGAGGAATGGGAGTGGGAAAAAAGAAGAAACAGCTAAGCATTTCGGTCCCGTATAAATGCACGTGGATAGGTGCTTCATCGGTGGCTCTGAGGATGAAATCAGCCAAGTGATACTCGTTTTGATAGGCGACACCGAGAAACATGTTTGTGGCGTTAAGTTGGCGATGTTTTGTTTTGTCTACCTACATCCGGAAACAATTGGAAACTCTTTGCTGTCGGTCCTAATTCTCTTTTTCGTTGTTTCTGTTACTTTCCATTGTCACTGGGAGAATCGAAAGGCATCGCAAGAAATCGGCGATCCATGAATGAGGTCGTGTGGTTGTTGATATGAAGTTGATAAGGTGCTTCTATTCGGTTCGGACCTTTTGCCAGGTGGAAAGAGGAGAGGAAGTAAGTTGAGTGGGTCACTACCATAACCGAAGCTTTTCTGGGGGGTCACATGTGCCTGCCTCGATAGTGGACTGTATTTGGTGTTATGAAACGAGTATTACCTAGTTGTACACTACTGTTAGAAAACATTGAAGTGAATTGACGTATTTCACCTCTTACCACTAGTCTTTTGTTCTGCGATTACTTGTTGCACTATTGCTTACTGGCCAAAGATTACAAGAGGTCGTCTAATCCGGCTGACCTATTTTAGGATCTAGCTTCCCGAAACTTTGAAATTCTCCGGTCCACGTTGCAAATATCCGTGTTCGTGTCCCTGGTGTCGCTTTCTTTACCTCGTAGATTGACGTACCCCCACGGCGATCCGTCCCCTCGCGTGGTGCGGGGTAAACATCGCTGGGTCAAGACGACATTTCGTTCCCTACAGCCAAGAGATCACTAGGCACCTGTCAAGCAAGATAGTAGAGACGTTGACATCATCTACTATGGAAAAATGAGGGGTTCATGAACTGTACTTTCACAAGTCGGAAGTTCTCGATGAAAAGCCATTCGTAAGGTTTGGCACTTTCCAACGAACCGGGTCTGCAAGTATCCTACATCTACCCCCATCGAGGTAGATAGAGGGATATCGAGATAGGGGCGAAAAGATTAGGTGGAGTGACGAAAACAATATGCTTTTGCGCCATTCCATTACAGTATCGCAATTGACTTTCTGTGTTAAGCTTGTCTATAAATATAACTATCTGTGGGACGACAGATACGGGTTTCTACGTAAATTTACTTCAGCAGCATATTCCCCTCCCGAGTCAGTCTCGCTTAAAAGGTTTTATGGAACCTCCCCTTCGCACTGGGCGTGAACTACAGTAGTGGGTGGACCGAACCTGGAATCAAGGTGTGTATTTGTAGTAGAAATAAGCAGTTTACAGTCGTCCTTCGAGACAAGTTGGGCCAATGGTTATCAATACGAGAAGTTATTCACATCTCTTTTTACAGTAGCACATGATTGCCAGGATATTGCTTTGGGAATGCCATTGACTTTCCGGTTACAAATTCCGAACAGTGCTATCGTAGGAGTGGGCAAAGTTAAGCACTTCAGCAAGGTTTCCCAGAAAAGAACGGGATCAGTCGCAGATTGATGTCATTTCTACAAGTCACATGAGCCTCATTTGCTTCAGTCTCCACAACTCCAATGTGGTGTAGTTCCACTGACGGTAGATGAAGTATAATAGAAGCTTTGAGAAATTTCAAAGATGTAAAATCAGCAGAAAACAAACATGAAGTATTTGGTGAGAACGAGTAACTGGTATGAACTTGATGCCACGTAACGAATCACTTGCGGGGTAAGTAAATTGTGACGGGATCTTGCAAATACCAATCAAAAGCTTCTAGAGTTATGTACCGATTGTTGAGCCTCAGATATGTAAGCCAAGAACAGAAGGAGCAGAAAAATAAATAAGCAGCAGTATCACTTGATTCCTTTTCCACCGTGATTTTCCGTTGGCCTAGACAGCGTCATAAAAATGTGGTTGATTGACTTTCTGATATAGGATTCTCTCAGCCAGCTGAGCTTATCTCAAAATCAACCTTCCCATCGAGTAACACCCCTAATCCTCCGGTACCCAAGAGCAGCACAAATCGTAATCAATTTCAGTTTTCCTCATGATAACCTTGGTTGCCAGTTCGTCATCTTTAGACATACTGATTTGAGCTGCACGGTTGCCATCATTGCCTGCCCACCAGGAAGCAAAGAAAGGGGGAACTAAGTAGGCCACATCGCCATCAATCGTCGATCCGGTAAATAAAACCTGGCTAGGGTCTGCTGAACTTCCAGGGCTCACCTCTCGGCCTTCAAAGCTCACCTTGATAGCTTCGAGATACTTTTTCTGCTCAATCCACTTTACCAAGTGATCAATTTGAAGGTATTTCGCCTCAACGAGAAGCGCGCTGTACAAGGTGTGATCGTGACCGCGGGAATTGTCATGAAAGACAGGGAGAACACCACGGCGAAGGTATTGAAGAATATGGGCGAAGAGGACTGGATCTCCATCGTAGAAATAGGAGCCATCTTTTTGAATGACATTCTCCTTCCAACGAGATAGTATGGAGCGGAAATATTCACTCTCGTCGGTGAGTGTTTGTTGTAGAGTGGTAAATCGTTTGTTGCCAACTTGAATGGTGATACGACCGTCAAGATTGACTCCTTTGAGAGCTCCATTTAGAACAGTTGAAGAATCTGACTCTTCAGTGTGTTTTGGCGTACCTTTTGTATTTTAGATGCAGGTCTGCACAAACTGTGAAGCACAAATGAATATGGTGTCTTACCAAATAGAGACGTTGGTTTTGGTGTGTTGGGGTTCTCTGTATGGATGGGAGTCTGCGGAAGGGCGATTTCTTTGCTGTGATGCGAGGTAGATAGCTCTGTTGATTCCGCCATTCGGATTCTTGTTTCTTGTGTGTAGAAGTAAAGTGGAAGTATCTTGTTGACGGTTCAGGAATTTGGGATCGATGATGGGAGGTAACATCCACGACGAACAAAGTTGACAGCTAAATAGCTGGCCAACATGGCATATGTATCATTGAAAATCTGTGACTCGAGAAGTCCCATAACAAGTCCTATGGTGATTGTGATGGGCGAAGCCGCGGGAGAGCCAGACTGTGTCCACTCCCTAGTCAAATAAGAATAGCAACTTGGGAATAGTTTATGCTATCCATTTTCCTCAGAGACAATTCTCTTGCAAGCGACTCATTGAAAGACCGAAATACGCAATACTAAGACATCGGGCACAGAAGGACGGGGTTCTACAGGAACTCCTAAATAGTTTATCATATGAGGCCTCTTGGCTGCTAAGGTCTGATATAATTCTCGTTGAAGATTCGGACCCCGCCAAACATATGATGGGGCATCTGCATTTTGCAGCGACGCGGAGCGTAACACCGTGATGCAAATCTCAAGGTTCGAAAACAAAAGAGGCACAATTCATGACTAGTCATATTTTCGTAACCTCAGGATCAATACTCACCTTCCCATGTTCACATATGGCCAGAAGCGCTCCATCACTTTCCCGCTTCATCGTTGACGCGAGGGTACACAACCGCTTTCCCGCGTGTACCACCGTACTATCAATTATTACTGTCGTTCCAACAGGTACCGGTCGCAGATAGGTAACATTTAAAGTCCTCGAAACGCCCGCGTATAGCCAATATCCAGGACGCGCAATCGGACCGAGGGCGGAGGTAGTCAACCACTATATACAATCATTAGCGCATTGCTTCTTCTGCATCTGACTATCTTGTCTTGAGAACTCACGTCGAAGATCGTAGCAGTACAGCCTCCGTGTAGGTTGTTTAATCCATTGCAATGTTCCGGCTTTACTGTAAATCTGAATACCGACCTTCCTACAGGTTGCGCTGACGCCTCAAGGAGCTCCATGGCGCTCACCAACCTCACTCCCCATCCCTTTTCTGGTGTCTAACGGGTCTCAGATTTTATATTCTTGGTTATGAGGCCAGGTGTGAGTTACCGATGCTGTGGCTTGGTCTTCCTCTTTTGCGAGCGAGAAGACTATGGCTCTCACTCTGTCCATAGCAGATTGGGCGTCTACGGGTTCAAGGGGCGGTACTTCGGGTTTCGACCCTGGATTTGAAGCTGAGGGAGCCATCGCAAGATGAAATGGTAGTAACCAGCGGATATTGAGATCTAAAACTGATAGCGTATTGTGCGATTGAATGTTCTCTTTTGATGTTGGTGTCTTGAGGCTTATGATAAGGTTCCAAGCTGGAGATGCCGAGGTTAGTACCAACCTCATGTCTTGGCACACCTTGGAGAGGGACAAAAAGGGGGGTCATGAACACCTCAAGTCTATCCCCAACCTACGGATGATAGGTTTCCAAAAGATTTCTGTTGAGCAGCCCAGGCAACTGGCCGTTCGACCTAAGGTTTTTGGACTCGAACTCTAGCCCAATCATATCGCTCCTACCACTAACTTCCCTAACTCGCTTCCGCAAGGAGGCAGGATGTGAGGCTGGAAACGCGAAGGGCGGGGGCGATGGAATGCACGGAGAGCGAGCAGCTCTTATGGCATGACGCCAAAAGTGTGCCGTTAGATTGGGATCAAATTTGAATCTAATTGGGCTGGCTCTTCATCTGTCTGGGCTGTTTAGAAACGCTCAACCATACCCGACTACTCGAGTACTTCACTTGGACGAGATCTACTCAGATCCTTGTATGGATCAAAATTGCTGGCGCCTGTCGCATCTTTTCTCTTCGAGGAACTTTGTAAGTCGAAAATAAGTTGAAGAAGCCCGAGATGTGTGAAAGATAAAAGGTGTTCGAAACGTAGGATAGTGGAAGCAGAGCGAACAATTGCAACCGATTCAAGCCTGATAAGAACAAGCTTCTGTCAAACGTTCCAAGCCCTCGCTGTGACGAACCATTGTTTCTTAAGTACCAATGAATATATTGATATAGTATCTACTACCAAAACCTTCCTCAATCTCGAGGTTGTCTTTGGAGAACCAGTAGAACGCAGAGATGAAGTCCTGAGGAAGTATTACCTTTCCGAATAATGTTATGTTTGAATATCGAGTGACCGCATTACCAAACTCTCCTAAAAGATAACAGAGTCACTTCGTCTCGCTAGAACTAGATAATGTGGTTACATTCTGGATTCGATTATATTAATTCTTTCGCACACAATGCAATGTGCGCTCGCCCACCTTCTGCAGCCCGCCACATGGCATCCTCTCTCTTTTGCTGCGGATATCACTCGCTTCTTGTCCATAAAGTGTGTTGATATTTATGAACAACATTCATGGTCTAAGCGATCGTCATGCTTATGTTGATCGAATACTGTATTAAAGTAAATTTAATCAACATTCAGAGATTTACATGTAATAGACGAGGTCGTTACTCTGTATACACCTCTCTCAGAATAAAATTAATTTATAAGGGTCGTACAACTAAATTAATTATATAGAGGGCTTAGCTAAATTAATTATGTAGAGGGCTTAGAATAAATGTTACCTTTCACTTTTTATTAGCCTAAATATACTACTACAATTATCTTGTACTAGAAATTTAGTATAATAACATTTTTTACCGCGTATAGAGTAACGACCATGTATTTTGCCTTACCTTAAGTTCCGGAAAATCAGCTCAGCGCTTACTGACCTGCGCAGTGTGCGAAAAACATATTTGCCTGCCATTTCCATCCTATCGATGATATGATACGTGGAATTATTATCGGTCCCCAATCTAGAATATCCACGCTCCCAAAATCCTTCACACACGATAACCAAGAAAGAGTCACACCAAACATACAAATGTGCCTAAGGCTTGACAGCAGTGCGAAAGCACAGCTTCCTGCAAAGGTGCATCTAGATACTCCCTAGACAATATGGAATTATAGATATAATAATTTATCTTTTCAACCTTCCAAGTTTCACCGCTGCTAGCCCCATACCTCGAGGTGATTCATCGCTTCTCTCCGCTCAACATTCTTGAGAGTCGGATATTCATTGACTTGATATGTCTATCTCAGATGAAGCCCTAAAACAGCTCTTGGAAGGCCCAGCTTTGGACCCTCCACCAGGCATGCACCCGAATTTCATCGATCCACCAAACCTCCAGTCTCAAATCCGCGCTGTTGAAATTTTGACTCTCCTTCTTGCTACATTTGCAGTGGTCACCCGTATTTACACAAAAGCTCGGATCCTCAAGAGAGTTGCATCAGAAGACTGTATGTAGGAAAGGTATCTCTATCAGATCAAGCTTGCTGACTTTCGCAGATCTCTGCTTTCTGTCTTGGGTACATCAAGACTAAGGCCGGTTTCAATTCAATCTAATTTTTGATAGGCACTCTATGTTGCGGTTTATATCCCAACTATTCTCGGATCGAACGCAACCGCCAACAGACATCAATGGGACGTGAAACTCAAAGACATGAAGGACTTCTTGTTTGTAAGAGAACCATAGTGAAGGTTTCTCTGACTCACGGATTCGTGGCTGACCTCAAATACAGTACAAGAGCATAGTGGTGACCATGTACGGGTTTGTCGTCTTGGCCATGAAAACATCCATTCTTATCCAGTACATCAAGATCTTCAGCATGAACAGACGAAAGTCCTTCTATTGGAAATGCCACGCCTTGATATGGCTCAACGTTGTTTTCTACTTGACTTTAGCATTTCTTGAGATCTTCGCCTGCTCGCCGAGGGAGAAAATATGGACTCCTTGGTTACCGGGTGGAAAGTGCTTGCGGGTGCGAGAAGTGAATGTCTCTGCTGCAGCAGTTAATGTAGTTTCGGACTTCGTCATGGTTTTGCTTCCACAGAAACATGTGTGGAAATTGAATATTAGTACGAGAAATAGGTTGGGCATTTCTTTAGCCTTTGCTACAGCAATATTGTAAGTCACTTCCAAAAAGTTATCAGAAACCCACTCACATTTTTCAGGGCCTCAATATGCGCCGCGGTCCGCCTAAAATATGCAGTTATTTACCTTCGACACGACGATTTCACATGGCTATACAGTCAGATGGCAATATGGATGTTTCTGGAACTCGGTATTGGAATTGTTGCCTGTTGTCTACCAACGCTGCCGAGATTCTTTAAAGCATTGGCAGAAAAGCCACTTTTTTCCAGCATCAATTCGACTCTGCACTCTTTTCTCAGTCCTTCAAATCGTAACAACTCAGACAAATCAACTTCCCCAAGCACGGTCCAAGGTCATAAGTCCTCGGCTGGTCATATCAATCATGCTCCTTCAGAAACCTATGAGGAGCTGGAAGAAGACTTTGAACTACCAATTCAAAACCCTTTATCAAGTCGAAGTCGTGTCTATAAAGCCTCGGTATAATTATGGTATGGTCAATCCGGTAGGACTTTGCGATATCTAGCTTACGCTCGCTTGTGGGGGTTAATCTGTATTTACTCGTATTTCCTTTGCAAACGGAGTCTGTGTGCAAACAAATCAGAGGTACGACCAATTATAACAAGAAAACATATCCGCACCACTTGCTCTGATTTTGATTTTTAATTAGTACAGATAGCATGTGTCGAATAGTAGGCATTGTCAGTAGTGTTTCCAGCTAACACTGGTAGTAGTTAGGCAAAGTTCGAGGACTTTATGAGTTGTGACTATGTGATTCTTAAAATAATTGTGTATCTGTCACCTGAAAGTTCTCTCTTCGCAGTTTCATTTTCCAAGGACAAGTTGATCGCAAAGGAAATATTGGAAAGGATTTATCCCGCTGAAAAATGTCGCTAAATCTGACGTTGCCAAGAACGATTGTGACGGATGTAGTTCTCGCGTCCTGCATTTGCTCTCTATCTCTTTGCATTGCGGCTGGCACTGGGGCTAGTTTGTCCCTACTACTAGTAAGTCACTTCTGAAATGTCTTGAATGTCAAACGATTAATCCACCAAAAACCAATTACCATAATATTTCCAAAATACTCAAATACTGTACCCCAAGCAAGTTCCACAAGTTCATCCGCTCAGTCTAGCACGGAACGGCCCGCAAAAAGAACCCCCAACCTGAAAATGACGAGTCTTTGTTGCACATCGCTATTTACTGTTGCATTTATCCAACCGAGAAGGCAGGCCATCTCTCTCTCGCCAAACTCTATCATGAGTCATGAGACAACACCAAGTCTCCAGCCCGCGCTTTCATCCGCACGCATGATTTAGAGATCACGTGAAAATGACACAAGGGATGGAGATGTTTGGAAATGGATACATGTCAAGAAATTTCGTTGCACATCGCGATTACCTGCATGAAACGAAACGGGCCGGGCGGTTATTACTACCGGGGAGGGAGCGTGATGATGTCGATGCGTTTGTGTTGGCGGGGAGTCTGATGATGAGGCGATAAGGTCAGCTATTCGGTGTTGCGTACGAAATGTCTTACCTCTTTGGTTACTGGGTGGTCTGGTGAGCATTGAGATCCTTGGATCCATGGATTTGGCCTTCTAGGAGCTGATGTGATGGTAGTCAATCCAACAGCTCCTGATGGAATCTTTTGTCAATAGAAAGGACTTTGTGTATGAAGCTTTCATTAATGCTCTATTTATTCCTTGACAATCAACCCCTGCATTTCCATGCTGGTGGAGCTGAGACTAACAATATTTCAAGATGTACTCCGTAGTTCAGCCCAACTCAACTCTTTCATAAAACATCATCCTCTACTTATACCACCCAGTCAATCATTTTTATTTTACCTTCAGAACGCTCCTGCTTGCGACCGTCGTGCTAATCGCCATGAGATTTAATGCACCCGCAATGGAAAACAAAGCAACATTGGCTCTCCACTCCTTTGCCACCCAATTTCAGAGTTCTACCGCCACAAAAAAGGCAGCTCCACGGTCATATAAAGCTCTTTCCGGATCGAGACCTTGGAAGGTAAATTAACTAACGAGACCGTGGATACGAAGGTAGCCTGCGACCTAGAGTAATGTTTCAAGAACCACTGCACTACCCTGAACCCTCAGCTGTCGACTCGGCATGACGAAACCACCCCACATGGTGGTCATCATTGTTTTTCGCCTGCTCATCAGTTTAATTCCCACCAACATGATGGATTTGACAGAAATGTTCATTTTTATTATCATTATGGAATTGTTGTCGTCCTTGCTTGAAGTGTGACTGGAACGACTCATCTTTCCATAACCTTCGGGCATTTTTTTAAGAGAGAGGTTTCGAGTTTCCAGTTTCCAGTAATAATCCCCAAGTGCAGCAAAGCAGGTTCCGAGAAAGGTGTGAAGAAAGCGCAAGTGAATCTCCCTTTTCTCAACTGCAACTCCTTTGTCTACAATCCATCCGAGATCTGGCAGACTATGGAACGTCCCTCAGCTCCTAGCCTCCTACTACCAAAACTTATCTCTTAATTGGAGTCTCTCCAGCATCTGGTATTTTTAATGCCAGTGGAAAAGGAGACTACATGGCCGTAAAAGCATATATGGATTCGATCGCACATTATCGAGTCTTTCGAGGAGAAGGCTGTGTCAACGCGTCTATGGCTTTGAGTTTTGTCTTGCAGAACACTCAACATCTTTCGGCGCAGCATTGTTTCCCACGAGGTCGTTTCCGTAAGCTATGATACTGACAGATACGCCAATACAGGAAGGCATCGGTTCTCGGATACGGTGGGGGCCGGTATTCTTACGGATATCACAGAAGCTATCCTTACGGTGAGGTTGTTTTAGGTGCAAAAAGCATTTTTGCACCCAAAATATAAGAACGTAACCGAGGTATCCTTATAGAGTGTAGCCATGTATCGAGCGTTTTCTGTAAGCGCAAGTTGTAAGCCATCTGCTCATAGTCTTGACCAGAAATACACGCATCTATTACAAGATCTGTAGTGGAAAGTCGCGAGATATCGCATTCAGTGTCCTCAGGTACTAGGACGATAGACAGCCACAGACATAGATATATATCGAACTGTGGTGTTATAATAATCTTGCGGGGCAGATGGAGCTTGAAAGTGTGAAAGGGGAGGGGGGCGAGGGGGTAGAAAAAGCGCCATACATGAGTTTAATGCTCCATCCTGATGTCTTTCTGGAGTAGAGTAAAAAAACAACAATATTCACTCATGCTCTCAGGTTTGAGAAGAGTTGGCTCACGCTAACCAGATTTTTCACTTCACGGATGTATCGTGGACGAGGGGCCGGGAACTCGGCAAGAGAAAGGGGCTCGGTTAGTTCCTTCTCGCTTTGCAATTCCCCATTTCCATTTGTCGCTCATGAAGCTTCTTATTTTGTCCACAGAAATAACTCCTCAATTCAGTGCTCAGGCAGCAATTGGTCACAGCATGGTAATGCGTTGCAAGATCGATTGGTCCGCTGAATGTCACCCTGAAAGTGCCGTTTTGTGCCGTAGTTGTTGATTTTGACAGGATCCAGAAGATTAGTATGAGGTTCATGGAGTGTGGGAGAATATTTTGTCCTGTAGTATTGAGGAACATGGAATCGTCTAGGTGAATATGGGGTTATTATATGCAGGATGGGGGTCTAGAACCACGTGTAAGAATTCTGGAATTCACTGATCCTGAGATGAACCCCCAGCACCACCGGTCTCACGAATACAGTCTGTTGTTTATTTCTACGATCATCCCAGCTCATGCTTCCGCTGAGCGCGGCTATCCAATGTGAGTCTTGTACCTAATTTACCTTCCAACACGGGAGGATAGGTATCCACCGACATCTTGGCAACTTTCTCTTGGCTCATTTGCGTAGTAAAATCTCTGTTCTAATGCCGTTGCAGCTCTGGTTTATTCTCTCTTGCTTACGATTTCTTCACAATTCTATTTGAAACAAATTTACACATATTGTAGCCTATTTTCTCACATTGATTCCACTAAGAACAATGGCCGTCAATTCCAATAAATACACAAAGCTTGAGTTCAAACAGCTGAACCCTATTGTATCCCTCTTCTCGCCTACGCCAACGACACCAATTGACCCTTGTCATCCAAGCACAATTATATTCTGTGCTTGGATGGAGGCATCCCCACGATCAAGATACGTAAATTCATTTTTCGACTACTATCACGATCTCTACCCCAACGCACGCATTATCTGTGTGATTTCTCGACTTGGTTTTTTTTCATATACTTCTACCACCACCCGCTGTGCTCTTCACGAACCAATTATTTCAGCAATAGAAGCAGGTCCGTCGCCAAATGGAAAGAGGAACATTCTTGCGCATGTATTTTGCAATGGTGGGTCACTAGCCTTCGCCGACATACGCCAACAATACAAGGAAAACACGGGAAGAAAACTTGAAATCAAAGCTATCGTTTTCGATAGTGGACCTGGGGAGTATAGCTTCTCATATACCTATCAAGCTGCTGCACCAACATTTCCAAAAGGTCTTCTCTGGTACCCTGTTGCTGGCTTCATATTGGTGGCGATATTTCTTCTAGGACGCACCAAGGTTGGACCCTATCGGCACGTGGAAGGCTCCCGTCGAAGGATCAATGACTTAGAGTATGCAGATGAGAAGGAGAAACGTGTCTATATATACAGTGATACTGATCTAGTTGTTGGCTGTCAATCTGTTGAGGCACATGCCGCGGACGCCCGGGCTAAAGGAATCGACGTAAGTCTGGTGCCATGGAAAGGCAGCCGTCATATTCAGCATATGTTGCAAGAAGAATCTCGGTATTGGGATGTTGTCACGAATTTCTGGGCTGGCAAATCGAGCTCTACTATGGGATAAGCAAATTTCCGAAGTGTTGTGTGGCCAGCCCGGGAATGTTGTACGCAAATAAAACTGTTGAAAAGAGCCCCCCGCGAAGCAGAGAAACACAAAGAGAGAATTTTAGTGGAAGACAGTGTTTCAAGAAACAAAGTATAAGGCTGATTTGATAATTTTCAAAAGTGTTTCGCTGGTATGCCTTGCCTTGGTGACAAAGCCATTTCCATCTGTGACCCTCTAGAGCCTCCATCTATGTGACTTAAATGTATAACTATGATACTGGCTCATCCAGAGATTATGTTCCCTGAACATATTTTGATAGAGCTCCTTTTTTGCCATCGCCCCCAAAGCTTTGTTTGACGACCCGACTATAGGCGCTTTTGGAAATTTCCAGACTAGGAATTGATTTTGCTGGACTTTCTGTTGATTCAAAAGTCCAGGGGTCCCCGAAACCATAAGAGAATTATCGAGGGTGTTCCTCCGCTTTTGGCTGACATATTGGAAGAACTTTGAAAATACGGCAAGACATGTGCAGGGAATGCAGCTGGTAATATACGCGTATGTACAGAAGCCCGATATTGAAATTGTAAACTTCATATCCAACATCCTGTGGGCTTCGTGCTAGCACAATAAACCCTAAGTTGACTCAATATAAGCAATTACTGTCCTCGGCCTCAGATAGTCTGCGTGAGAAGGATGTTCCCTTACAAGAGTCCAACAACTAAGTTACCTGAAAGCAGTGTCTTTCACCTATTTATTAACATAAAAATCACCCTATGTGGAAGTAGCCGGATCTCAACCCATTTCAAAGTTCCACATTTATACTTGGTGTTCTCAGCTGCGATACTCCAAGTAATTGCTTTGGATTACTTACAACGCTAATTAATACCCGTGATTAGCACTGAAATCAATATTGGTAAGAGACGTGGTCGTTACTCTGTATACACCTCTCTCCAAATAAGTCGTACAATTAATTAGTTATAATTTATATAGAGAGCTTAGAATAAATGTTACTATTCACTTTTTATTAGCCTAAGTATACTATTATAATTATCTTACTTATACTAGAAAGTTGGTATAATAATATTCCTTATAGTATGTACAGAGTAACGACCAGGTATCTTACTATTATATTAATGACACCATTCTCTGAGACGGGGAGAGAAATTCGCTTAAACTATTTTGGGAACCAAACAAAAGCTAGCTAGATGTCAGCCCATATTCCCAAACGCTTTGCCTCCCACTCCGCTACCTTCCGTATAATGGCGTCTTGATCAGCGACAGGTTGATAACCCAATCGTTCCTTAGCTTTACTGATATCCCACTGAGTGCCTCCTGCAAGATATTCAATACCCTCCTTTTTCAGGCTTGGACGTCGTGTACCAAATGTAAAGATCCAGTAGATCCATTCCCCCAGAATAGTCAAAACTAATATCATTTCGTATGACATGACTTTTATCTCGCTCTTCTCAACTGGGTAACCTGCACCGGCATATATCTTTCGAGCAAAATCAAAATAGGGCATGCTGACATCGTCAGAGATGAAGAAAGCCTCCCCTCCCACTTTCGTTTCCTCTTTCTCGTTGAGAAGTGCCTTTGCTGCCAATATGTGGGCCATACACGCACTCTCAATATACACAAACTCAAAATGTCTCTTATTGTCTCCAAGCTGGATCTTGTGTTGATTCTTCTTTACGCTACCCAGGAGCGTCCCAACACAATTATCATCGTCTTCCCCATAGAGTCCCGGAATCCTTATCACGGCTGTTCGCAGTTTCTCGGGATTATTCGCTTCACGTACTTTGATATCTGCTATGGCTTTCGTCTTGGCGTAGGCATTCACTGAACTCTTTTCCGTGTGTAGTTTTGCCGTTTCTTCCGTCAATCTGACGCCCGGCGACTGAACAATAGCGGAATCGGTGCCAGTATAAACAAATGCTTTGACACTCGGACTGGCTGTGGCGCATTCAAGGAGAACACGGGTAGCATCGACGTTGGTGCTACAGAGAAGAGCTTCGGAATCGGTGTATTTTGGTGATGCGGTGTGGAAAATAACTGTCGGCTTTATCTTTTCCAAGAGGCAGGAAACATGGTCGTGATTTTTAATGTCACCGGCATGGTAGGTGGCTTTAGGGTGAAGGTTTTGTGTTGGCGACCTGCTCATTACATGAACACTCTCGACTTCCTGGTGGCTAGAAAGTATTGTTTTGACCAGTCTAGATCCTAAAAAGCCACAGCCTCCAATGACGAGCACGACTCCAAGATTGCCGTCCGAAGCCATGGTTCTGGTGTTTAATTTTTCGGGGTTGAGGTCTGAACTTCCAAAGGGTGAGACGGGAAGAAGACATCGAGGAACACTGAGTTGGTTGGTGTTGGTTAGTTGGTGAAATTAAATATGTTGACAAATCAAGCCTTTCCAACATTGTACTTCTCAGTGAAGTATTCTCCAATCATAAGATCCAGTCCAGAAAGTATTGCCTAAAACAATTCCACATAGATTACAACACAGTCTTGTTATTTAGGCACCCTTTACTTTTAGATGAACATTGTTGGCAGCACTCTAAAAATGGCATATTTAAGTCCTATACTCATTACAAAACTTACTCTCGATTACCGAAAGCTTTGGATCACAATAATAGAGGTATTTCGCACGTACTTTTCGACCCAACAACTTGGCCAACAAACTACCAATGCCTCTCTGAAATTTCAACCTCGTTGACATCCACCTCATCCTTGAACCACCTTTCCTTTTCCTCAATTTTAACATCATTTCCACTCATCATCCGCTTCCTCATTCGCCCATCAGGTGCAAACGTCCAATCTTCCAATCCATAAGTCCTCCACCACTGTCCTTCCTCATCATGCCATTCGTACCAAAACTGAACCGCAATCTTGTTATCCGTGAACGAGAACAATTCCTTTCTGAGTCTGTACCCGTTCTCGATTTTCCACTTTTGGGTCAGGAATGTGACGATTTCATCGCTGCCGGTAAGGAAAGTGGACCGGTTCCGCCAGATTGAGTTGGGTGTGTAGGCATATTTTATGACTTCCGGGTTCCGTGTGTTCCCTAGTGTTGTGAGATAAGCAACTGGAGCAGAGGTGGCTGGTGGACCTACAAGCATCTTGGGCGGCTTTCACTTTTATTTGGGCGGTTTCTTGGGTGAATGGTGGGAGAGGATATTTGAGACTTGTGAAATCTGCCATTGGACTCACGAAAAGAGTTGGGGAGTTTTGTGGAAAATTGCCGGATTTTGTCTTTGGGGAGACTTATTTCTTCCCTTCTACGTAGATAGTGGGGCACATATGAACTTTCATGCTTCTGAATTATTAACTGCCTACTAACCTCAGCCTATAATAGGCAGAAGTCGTACACTAAGTTCGAGGTTAGTCAACCACCTGTCAACGAAATCAAATCCCGTTTGCGGATCCCGAGGAGAAACTTTATGTTATATCAGGTTGTGTGAGAGGCAAGTACTTAAGAGCACATGGCTTTCCAGGGTTCCTACAGGACAATTAAATCACTTCTATAAAAAGAAACACCGTGGATAGATGGCCCGGGCCGTTCATTCCGCCACGGTCTAGATCTCTCTCTTGATAAGCGGATTTGGTCACCAATGACGCAACTGAAGCGCAAATTATAAACAATTGAATCCATGTCTTTATATTTGTAACCCTAGGTTCGAGCTTCTGAAGATTAGCAGATGGGAATTTAACAAATCAGCCAATTAATTCGTTGAAAACACTGGGGATTCCCCTTGGACTCCACTATCGGAAGACCCCGCAAAACCCAACAAGGTAACTGGTACCCCGCTATCGGCGACCCCAAGCTTTACAAAAACAGCTCAAGCTATCTTGCATTATTCAAAACATCTCTTCAATCGACTCTCACCTCTTCCGTACACTTCTCGCACATACTTCCAACTATCATCTTCAATCACCATCCAAAACTATACCCACAATGCCTCTCTCAGTCGGCGACAAGCTCCCAACAGACGTCAAGTTCACCTACGTCCCATACACTGAGGAGAAAGCTGGTATCACTTCTTGCGGTAGTCCAATTGTCTACAATGCCGGTATAGGTACGTTAAAATCCTCTAAACTCTCCCAGTTCACTTTACCTCTAGCCACTTCTTCCTTGGCAGAAATTCTGGTTACTCCAATACCCAGACTCAAGCTGATGGTTATTTAAATGTAGAATGGCAAAACAAAAAAGTCGTCCTTTTCTCCGTCCCCGGAGCCTTCACGCCAGGTTGCAGCGCAAAGCATCTCCCAGGCTTCATCGAGAACCTTGACAAACTGAAGGCAAAGGGAGTTGATATCGTCGCTTGTATCGCATACAACGATGCCTTCGTCATGAATGCTTGGGCAAAAGCGAATGAAATTAGGAACGATGATATCGTACGTCTTATACCCTTTTTAAGACAGAAAAATGGGCGAGGAGATGGTGTCAAGAACTTCTGGTGGCTAACCTGTGTTCGATTTGTAGTTGTTCCTCTCAGACGACAAGGGATTCTCCAAGGATACAGTTGGTTGGATGAAAGGGGAGCGAACTGCGAGATATGCCTTGGTTATTGACCAGGGAGTTGTGAAATATGCAGAGGTAGAGCCTGGAATGGATGTTGATGTTTCTAGTGCTACGGCTGTTTTGGCGAAGCTTTAGGTTTGAACATCCCCTACGCCTACCATAATCCGAAGACAGCTCCATATGGCGTCGATAAATGGGAAAATGCGAAGGCTTACGATGTCCGTTGGCGGATGATAGATAATACATATACCCCACTCAATTAGAGCGAGCTTTTACGAATACTGAGTCCTATGCTTTTCAGTTCTTTACTTGTTTTTTTCTTGTGTTTTACCTCAATTCGGAATCCCAAAGTATTCAGATAGGCTGGGAGCTGTATCAATGATATCATGAAACAAGAATAAGTTCGTTACAACATCTTTGATCCTAGGATGGCCCAGTTGATCAAGACAAGGTTCGAGCGGCTGATTGCTTACCTATTGCCTAGAGTAAAGTCAGGAAAGCCTCTTGCAAATGAGGTACCCAGATTCTATTATACGGATGTGGTAGGGTGTCGAAAAGACTTTCAACAACAGAGATGGGACATGCTCTTCATTTTTAAAGAACTGTTCTCGATAAACTAGGCTATCCATAAACAACGATATGACCAACTAGAACGATACACCTAGCGATGACCTCTTGTAGCAGCCAATCATCTCATGACATAAGCCAAGTAAGAGAGGCGGGCATTGCACTGTACACGCCTGAGTTATAAAAAAAGAATTATCCTAGAGACCTTACACAACTAAACTAATTGTACAAAAAGTTTAGAATAATTGATACTTTTTACTCCTTGTTAACCTAGGTAAAATAAGACAACTAATTAAGTTGTGCCAGACCTTTGGCATAACGACTTTGGATAGCATGTACAGAGCAATGACCAGGTTTCTTACATTTCTCAGCTTGCCTTTACCCTAAATCAACTTATTCTCTTGTCAAGCCCTCCTGAAATGAAGGTCGGAGTTTCGCCAGCTTATGCAACTAAAGCATAAAGCTCATTTAAGAGAACAGAACCTCATACTGTAAGAAGGAAAAGATGAATGCAGAACCCGAGGAACAAAAGCTGATTCGTTAAAATATTCGATTCTTAAAGCTACGTGAGTAGCTGAGCATCAAACATGCCATTCGGCGAGTCATACCGCAACCGTTCCTACTCATAAGGCATCTGAGATTTCGTCTAGAACACTTGAAGCTAGTCATAACCAGGGGAACCGGGCTTCATCCACAACACGCTATTACAAAACGGCGCTGCGCTAGGATTACTTGAAAGACAGTTAGCTCCTGTTAGAGCACACTCGTCGGTGGTTGTAGTGAGACATGAAGACTGCGAAATGCAACAAATCCAACCTTCAACAATAGAGAGTCCGTCTGAACTACGAAACCAGAATCTATCGTATATTGAAATCTGGAAGTTTGGAAAACTGAATAGTCTGGGCATAAACTACACAGCGACCACGACTTTGTTGATGCAAAAGACTTGCAGTATCTTCCATGCCTCAAACATCCACGACCAAAACTTCCAGGATACAATTCGAGCACTGGTGAATCAAGAATTGCAAATAGGCGAGTTTGAGGCATTTTTTCCCTTGAGAATTGTGGCTTAGTCTAATAACTGAGGAAAGTTGGGTAGCGCCAAGCAGGGGTTTGCAACAAACTCTATGGTGGTCTTCAAGCGGGAGTGCTTCGATCCGGGGAACTTTGAGCTGGGAGTAGTTGGTCTGGGAGTCCAGAGCCAAGTTCTCTCGATGAGCAACAAAAAGAATTGACATGAGTTTAAGGTTGATAGAAACATCTGTTCTGTGAAATTGGTAATGACAGGCTGAAGTGTCAATCGTTGGGTGGGTGAGCTTCGGTCCGCAAGGGCCCGAGTGAGCGAGTCAAGATACTTGATTCTTGAGGAGAAAACCAAGGAAAAGAATGGATGAAACGATTTTTTTGGGATGTGGATTTGTCCAAGTGGTTTAGAACTGGGAAATACGTAGCGTAGTGGCACAGCCAAGTGCTTACGATATGCAACAAAATGCACTGGTGGCGTTACACCGACCTCTTCGAGGCTCTGGCTTGCCACTACTAGTTGATGCACTAGATCGCTGGCCAAGTTACTTCGACTTGCAACAAAAGATTGGACTTGGAGAGCAAAGTAATGCGATTTACTATAATTATAATGGCGTGGTGATGTTGTTAAGTGCTTGAGAAGGAAGGCGAGTTTTGGGTACTACCGGTGTGTATGAGAACGTCTTTCTCTTTGTCATTTCTTCAGTAACCACAAACGCTTCATGAAGTACTCGCAACTTCTCGAAAGTATTGCGGCGAAAAGACTTCGTTTCTTTCCTTTCCTTTATAGAGTGAAATTTTGTGATTCGCATAAGATAATCTGTTAGAAGATGTTGTGCGAACAAATGGATTCCATAAACAAATCCATAAAGATACTTGTAGATACAACGACTATTGGCCGTTATCGTTTTTCCTTCGCTCTCTTCCGAGTAAGATACTTGACTCATTCCATTTATTCGACCTCCATAGATCAAAGGAAATCTGTACGCATATTCCGCTACTATAAAAACAGTGTTCGCTCGATCAATCCGGTACTCAGGAATATCAAAGAAGAGTGGACTTGAAGAAATCGCAACGTTATTTGAGAAGCATTCTTCCTTGGTTACTCAAGTATTATCCAGACACAGATTCTATTTGGAAAGACAATATCACTAAAATCGTATGTCTCAACGGATTATCAGAGATGTTCTAGACATCTACATATCAACATAGTAACCCACCTGCCAAAACACTTTAACTCCTCAACAAGCCATCAAATAATGGCTTAAAGAAACTAAAACTAAACACAAGCAGGCAAGCCCTTTACTTTTGTTCCAAAACCGCCAGAAAACCTGTTCTACCAACACCCATTCCCGGCCGGATCATAAGAGCCCAGGAACCAGGATAGTAAGGACCATAGAAGCCTGATAGCCAAGTTCCCTCGACTTGCAACAAATCCTTTCACGCTCTCCTTAAATAGATAGGGCTAAGGAACGATAAGAAAAGCCGGCCACTGCCGGTGTGACGTTACCTGTTAGTATGTTCCAAGTACGCTAAAACGTCCCACGATCGTCGATGACATGCAAATGACCAGGAACCGGGATAGACATTGACGGGACCACGAATAGCTGCCAAGTTGCTTCGATTTGCAACAAAAGATATTCTTTTCCACTTCGAGAGCCATGCTAGAGCCACATAAGGACTTGTGAGCCGACTGGGGCTACGTAGAATATGCTGTGTATAAAGTAATGTGTGGCGAACTGTTCAAGAGTTGGGATCCTGGCTGTGGCTTTAGGAATCGGCAAGAAGTCGTCAACTTAAGCTGCTTTGAATCGCAACACAATTCCTCTGATTGAGTCTAGAATACTAGACTAAGAGATGATACTCTACGAGTACTCGCATTTCTATGTAATGACTGTATAACGTAGGTGGTGGGTAAAATAACTGTTAGTAGCAACTATCTTTTGATAAGTGTGTATAAAAGACTGAAACACTTTTCTATTGCAGTACAACTCTTATTCCATAGCAGTTCAATAAGAAGAAACACGAAATATAGCTTCTCATGATCATTTTCATTTTCGAAAACTTATCGTTGTCATCCACATTTGTGACAAGCAAAATAATGCAGCTAAACATACCTCTGCACTTGCCAAGCTTCTCCTCTCGAGGATCTTAGTACCACATTAAAGTATACATCGGGTCAGATTTTCTAAAGAAAGAATCGCCAAGTTACATGCGATAAGCAACAATCCTGCTTAACTCTCCATCTAACGTTCCCGCCCTTTAAATGCCAACTATCCTCGCCATCCCATCCCAACCCATCAAACTTTCGGCTAATCACGCAATCAGACCGCCTTACTTGACTCTCCAAGTAGGGACGGCACCTCTCACTACCAGTAACCCAAGAAACAACGACACATTCCAGAAACAATCTATCGCAAACGTTGCACATCGCGCAAAACTTGGCATCCCATCTCCCTCAAGAAAATTTCCAAACAAATTATCGCATCTTCACGTTTACAGATACGAGTGCCCGTCGAAAGGGCGTTCAACATGTCACGGCTGGCTTCACAACTAGTTTTCTACCGATATATCCTCACCCGTCCCGCGTCTCTCGAAACCCCCCGTCCGTGGTCGCCAGAAAAGTCACTTTTCCCATTAATCTAATTTCCAAAACCATGAGAGCCGGATGCCGGAGAACCCTTCGCTTCGGCAACCCGTCATCATCATGACATTTAACCTTTGTATCGTATCATCTGGGCACTGCCCACTAACATGGTTTTTCTCGAGTGTTCCATGATAATACATGAGGGATGGTTCCTAGGTTTGGTGGTTCTGGGGGGCTTTGATCCTTGGGTTTGTGGTCGGCTTTGACTTGTTGAGACTCCCGTGAGAGTTCTTATGCAGGACGTAGAGGAGAGTGACAGGGCTGCTTGTAGTGCCTATATGGGTTTTTGGGATTTTGTTGCACGTCGATGGTACTTGGCTTTTTCTTGTTAGGTCCTTGGAGAGAGGGGTATAAATATACATCTGCTTGTGTAGACATACCAAGATGATAAGAAAGCGGAGGGAAAGTTTGTTTGATTGTTTGGACTCGGGAGATGTCGCTCGTGACGTAGTACAGAGATATACTAGTCAGGAGAGACGTTGAGCAAGATCCGTACACATAGTACAAAAACCACTTTACAAACACAACCGTCGTCTCTTTGACTCTCGACCTTTACCGTAACCCAAATCTCAATCACCATTTTCATTCCATAGGAACAACAGCAGTAACCAATCCCAACCCCACCTTCCACCCCTTCCATCCACCAAAAACATGCAAATAAGAAAACCCCAAACTAAAAACAGAGTTCGCCCTATCGTCGGACACTACCCCTCTAGACCAGCCTCGTACGGCCTCGCCAAGTCCCTTCGACATGCAACAAATGTTTTCCTTCGAAATCTGGACCTGGTACTAAGTACCCCTAGCACGATTGTACGTAGCAATCTGCACTGGACCTTGTACTGGTGTATGTGTAGCTAGAGCAAATGGAGATGGAGATCCCTCCTGCCAAGTTGGTCGATGTGCAACAAAGTTCCTTTCTGTCACGGATGGGGAAGGGGGGACTAGACGGATAGGTGCTGGGTAGGGGGAGATTTGTGGTACGGGTGCTGGGTTTGTGGACTGGTGGGATTGTGTACGCTAGGGTTGAGGAGCGAGGGCACTGGAGAGTCTGGCGGTATACAAGAAGTAATAGGAATACGAGTACATAGAGTATGATTCGGTTGTTCTAGGCTATTATCAAATATCAGATAAAGGGTTTGGGTTGATCAAGTGAAGTAGTTTAGAAGAATGGAACAATTAAAGGGATTACCTTAAACCCTTAGAACAACCACTTGAATTGTTCGAAGAGGTTAGAGAGTAACTATCAATCTTTCGGGGGCCTGGATAAAAAGGCCATTCACTGCCATTGATCTTGTCCATCGTGAGGGAGTTTAAAAGTGATAGATTAAGTAGTGAGGACAAGAAGGGAAGACATCTGGTTCTGGAAAGTAGGATTTGATTATGAATAAAAAATAGAAGAACACTCAACAAGATATCATCTGGGATTTGATTGGGGGTTTTCTTTTGACTTTGATCTCCCACTCATCATGGTATCTGTTACCCTACTTGGATCTTACGGGATCAAAGTCTGTATATCGTATATCATACTGCACAAAGCCTCATGGCCTGCCAATTGATCCAAGTCTGCTTGTGTTATAAATTGGTACGGCACATAGCCCCTCTCCCGACGGGCGATTCAATATGTCGCACTCCATACGTCGTATACTATGTGCATTCATTATCCAGACACAGAGGCTCATTGCCCCCTCCTCCTCTCCTGCCCCACCATACTCTCCTCCCTTGTCGCACCATTCATCCTCGCCTCAGTCTGCCTAAGCTTCTTCTCCAAGCCATGTCTTTTGACCAATAGCTCCATACGGTGCTCCGCCAATTGTGTGATCCTCTCAGCGGGTGTGGCTTCAAGACGTTTTTGTGCTGTCTGCAGAACAAAATCAGTACATTTCCAGCTAAAAAGTCAAGCGAGAAAGGACGACACACCTTTATGATATCACTCTGTACCTTCAATCCAGCTCCATACCATGCTCCGGTCATGGTGATAGATGCAATTGCACCAGTCAATATGAAGCGGCGGATCTTCTGTTGTGCGGGAGTACGGGTGGCCATTTTCCCCTCCAGCAACCCTGTCGGGATTCTGGAAATTGGGTCGATGTTCTCGGACCGATGCAGTGGATTTTCATCTCATCACGGCGAGCATTGATGGCTTGATGGCTGTTCGAATCGTGAGGTCCGTCGTCGTCGTTGATGGATGGTGGTTGCGCAGCGAAAAGTTCCCCCCCTGTATTCCAGGCTCGGATAGAGCCGAGCGAGCCACTGAAAACAAGATGCCCAAGCCATCCGACTATCAAAATGCCCGATGCCAATGCAATGCCCGATTTCTGATGCTCAATCAACACCAATATTCCCTCCAAGCCTCACTCGCTCTGCTGTGTCTTGTCTCCTTCATCTTCTCTCTGACCGCATCGTGGTCTCTATCCCTTGGCAGCTTGCCCGCTTTCCTCGCGTTGGAAGCCTTAATCCTCGCTGCAGTCGGACCACTCTCGCTATCGTAATTCCAATCCGAGAGTTCTGTGTCCTCATCGGAATCCGAGGAATCCGATGAGGAGGAGGAGATGGAAATGCTGGAGAGCCGTCGCATCAGGCTTTGGGGTGGTGGATCATCGGTCTCCCTTCGATTGGTGGGTAAAGGGGAAGGGAGGACGCCAGCACGATTTGAGGAGATCAAGGTGAGTAAGCGCATTGCGTGAATGATTAGATGGAAGAATAGAATTAGATTTTAGAAGGAAGAGAAGGATTTGTACAAGTACAGCGACACAGTCGCCAACAACGTTTCAAAACTTGGTATTGTGTGATTCAAGTCATCCCAAAATCCAGAACAGATCTCGCCTATCAAATTCTGTGTTCTCACGGAGAACATCAACAGAATTCAATCTTGAACCCTCTCAACTCTCAACCTCTTCACAACTCAGCTCTTCTTCACCTCAACGGCAATTTGCTCCCGGGAGTTTGACCTCGAGACAGCTATAGCACGTTTCAAGTATTAGGGCTTGACCAGACCGTCGACAAGCACCACCCCACAAGCCGAAACCCAACGTCATAGGGGGACCAACATCGAACTCCTAATCTGCTTATCTGATCTCCGTTGCATACAATCCCGTCAGTAACCGCCAGCCAGCGTTCAGAGCGTTGAACCTTGGCCCTCTAAACTAGCCTCTACAATTGCATTTTCACTTTCCCATCAGCATTATTACACGTTATCAGGCGTAAATTCAATCAAGTCGAGGATGGTTTAGTCCGTGCGTTTTCAGCCTCATTGGACGACTAATAATTAACCTTACTCAGACTGATCACGAGCAGGAGAACGTTACACCGGTACGAAATACGAGACGACCTAACAAGACAACATGACTACCCCTCGTGTATTTGTCGTCCGTCACGGTGAAACAGAGTGGTCTCTGAACGGAAGACACACTGGCACAACCGAGTTACCACTCACGGCCAACGGGGAGAAACGTATTCGAGCCACGGGTAGGGCATTGGTAGGCGATGATAGATTGATAGTTCCTAGGAATTTGGCTCATATGTATGATCTCATTTTTTCGACCCCCACCATTATACACACCCCCAGACCTCCCAAACCCAGAACAATCTATCCACAAAACAAAGTAAAGACACTTCGTACTACTTCGAAGTATATCAAAATCAAAATATATACTGATATACAATCAGATTCGTATCACCGCGCCACCGCGCCCAACGAACTCTGGAGTTGCTGGATCTGGGCTGTAAATCAAAGTATCCATGGCAAGAATATCCATCTCTATCTGAAGAAGAGAAAAAGGAAGGCGATATCCGCACCGTCGCCTCGGTAGAAGTCACAGAGGACATTCGAGAATGGGATTACGGCGATTATGAAGGCATAACATCGCCTGAAATCAGGGAGTTGAGGAAGAAACAGGGATTAGGCGAGTGGGATATTTGGAGGGGTGGGTGTCCTGGGGGAGAGTATGTTTTCTCTTCTTACACTTCCTCTATTGATTTATCATTTCTGTCTTCAAGTTTAGTCTTGATTTGATTTCAAGTTGAGATAGGATGGGAGGTGATATACAAGACTAACTCGAACCCCCCAGATCCCCAGAACAAATAACCACCCGCCTCGACCGCCTCATATCCACAATCCGTGAAAAGTACCATTCTCCATGTATCGGCAAACCATTGTCTGATAAACCAGCAGGAGACGTCCTTCTCGTGGCTCACGGTACATTCACCCTTCCCTCACTTGCCCATTCATTTCTCCATGCAAACGAAAACTAACGTCCAAGGCCACATCCTCCGCGCCTTCGCGATGCGCTGGGTAGGCAGTACCCTACAAGACGGCCCTTCTTTCCTCCTAGAAGCCGGTGGTGTAGGTACATTATCTTATGAACATAAGAATATCCACGAACCGGCTATCTTGTTAGGTGGTAGTTTCATGGTTGACATTATGGAGCAGGATGAGAAGAAGAACTAGACGGGTACTCTAGGAAATGAAATAAACTCTCATTATCCAAATATACATAAAACCTCTCACTTGTGCTAGCCATCACCATAAGAATTGAGCCACACCGTTCACACTCCACAACGTACAGAGCAAGATTATATCTGGAGTAACAAGGACAAGATAATTTCTGAATGCCTGAATACGTAGCCTTCAAGGATCCATCCGCAACTCCTTAACCGGGCTATATCACACATCATATACTTCTAAATCTCCGCCCCTCCGCGTGTCCTCCGGCTGTCTGTCGCTTTTGCAATTTCGCTATCTTTGTTGCATATCGCAGATCTGGGAGGCGCATTAAGCTTATTTATTAATATGGAGTACTCGTACTAAGTACCGCTCCCGGTAGACAAGAAAAGTGGCAGAGACCTCTTTTATCTTATCCTAACTTAACTAAACACTATTATATTATATTATTTATTTAGAATAATCCAAATGATTTACCGAAAATGATAGTACGATAAAGGCAATTGTTCCAGAAATTTTAAACATTTTAGTACCCAGAGTTGACTTACGCTAATAGTTGAAAAAATGAATCTCTGCCACTTTTCTTGTCCACCGGGAGGTACCGGTATTGTAAACAAAAAAAATCTACGCGAGCGTCTCTTCTTCAAGCATGATGTACTGTGATGAAGGGTTTACTTAGTCAGTTCTATTTCCTTGATGAGGGTATCTCCATTTCTCTTTCGCTGTTTTGGTTCTTACCTTCTTGGGTTCTTTGAGCAGGTTTTGGAGCACGGACTTGGGTGTTCTTGTGTGAGGTGTTTGTTGTCTTGTGGTCTTGAACTTCCTGACTCCTTCCTACTGTACTGTATACCATTCTCTACATCTCTACAAAAAAAACTAAACCAACAAATCCTTCTCTAACTTCTAACCATCTCCATCCCTTCTCTCTCTCTCTCCTTCCATCCCCCAGCCAACCC